TTCCTCTCCAACAAAGACCGTATTTTTGGAATATCTTCTGATAAATTTTTTAATTTATGTAAATTAGTATGCAATGCAACTATACAATTTTCTAAAGGTGGAAAACAACTAACTACATGCATAGCATATGTTGGACATGTTCGACTGACCTATACAATTCTCACTGCCACCTTATTGCTAGCTGCTACAAAAAGTGAATTGGTGCAGACAACGGGGTAACACTATACTACCTCCGTCAGGTTATAAGACTTTCTAGCATTGCCCAAATTCATATTCATTAACATATATATGAATGTGAGCAATGCTAGAAAGTCTTATAATATGAAACGGATGAAGTATTAGATAGCCGAACAAGTCCACTACCCATATATAAACTAGTATAGAGGAAGTAGTAGACTACTTGAACATAAAAGCCATGTTCAGCCGGAGGACCCAAAGTTGCCGATGGACCACAACATTGTACTTTGATTTCATGATTAATTTTAGGCCGGTCATTGCTCGTGTCCTTGTTCTACGCCTACGTTAGCTGTCTAAAAAACCTACACTGCCAACGATTTTTAAAGAATTAATCAACTCCATGTATAATTTGTGAATTGTGGGCAGGTTTGCATCGCTGGTCCAGCAGCTTTGAACACAAGCACGGAGACGCAATTCTGGCATCCTGCGGGGAGGAAAATGCAGCGGCGGTGCAGTACTCTCCCCGGATCCGCATCCAGATCCTCCCCCGATCTCGATGGCATCTGGACAAAACTCCCGCGGGCCCCACCAACTGATGCCGGCCCCACCAACTGATCTCCCACTGTGTACCAGTCGCTGTGCCCGCTAGCTCCCCCAGTCTCCGGGGAGACCGACCGTGCGAGATCGCGACCACGTAGTGCGGCGCTCGCTCTCGCTCTCCCCCGCGGCAGAGTCAGGCGCCGCCCGGCGAAGCGCGAGGCCCGCGGAGCAATGGCGAGTCACGGAAAAGCCTCACTCGCTCTTCCTTGCGCGCTTTGCCTCGCGCGCGCTCTAGTTTCGTGAGATCAGCTGTTTCCTCATTCTTATTTCACAGGATTTCAAGGGGTTCTGGGAGTCCAGATTCGGGGGCAAGAAGGAGCAGGAGCCGGAGCAGAACGGGCACGCCAATGGGGTGGCGAACGGGAGCGTCAGGAAGAGGACGTCCGATTTGGCGGTCTACGAGCAGTTCGAGCAGCAGGTATTTCCGTGCGTTAGCGATCCTCTTTTGGTATGGAATGGTTTGCGTGCATGCAGGTGTTCTTGGACAGGCGTCTCGTCTCTTGTGTAGTCCTTGATCCTCGATCGGTGTTGCTGTTTCAGGCCAGGCAGACGGAGGTGCGCGCCGCGGCGATTCGCGATGGGAATGCTGATGCGATGTGAGGACTCTTTTCAGTTCATTGTTTTCTCTTTTTTCCTGATGGAATCTCGAAGCAATGCATGTGTGATAGAGCATCTGGCTGGGGATTGCTTATTAGATTAGATCTGAACTTTTAGGTTTGAATTAGCCTCGTTTTTGTAAGAAAGGGATTTTGATTCGCTGAAAATTCAGAGAGATCTAACCATCGTACTACTTTGGACTGGAATATGTAACCATTGGCACTTCATACAGACAAGATGTTAAGTTCCTTGAATCATGGATGTGTGATCCTGTTCTTCAAAGGAGTAGCATCAGAGGAACCTTAGAGCTAGAAAAAGGTTGTGTAAGGAAAAATCCCTGCTGATGAACATTGGTGAAATTATCCTGGAAAGATACCAAGCTGATAATTTGGTTTGGACTTGTGGCTTAAGCATTATATCTCACCCTGCTGATGAAGGCTAGATTAAATTGAATTAGGGCGTGCAGGCTTTCTTCTGCCTTGTCAAAAGCCTATACAAGATTGACATGCAGTTTATTTGTTAAAGGAAATAGCATCAATCATCTTTAAATATGCTTAAAGTAGCACACAACAAAGTGGCAAACTAACATATGAAAAATCATAGATACTAACACTCTAAAGTCTCGGTGATTCATTACTGGCATTTCAAGACACTTATTCCTGAAATAATGCTTTTCTCATGGCCAACTTTGATTTATTAAGACATTAACTCAATAAAATTATGCTCTCAAACATTACGATTTTGGAGTTTTCTTTTGCAGCCAGAAGCCCCTCCTACCTTCGTTTGAGTCAGCTGAAATGCGTAATCTTGCAGAGACATTGTTGCGGTAATTCAAGATTCACAAACTTTCGAAAAATAGGAAAGCACAAATTTGGCCATTGACTATATATTCTTGCCTTCATCTTTCAGGGACATTATTCGCGGCAGTCCAGATGTGAAATGGGAAAGCATCAAAGGACTGGAGAATGCCAAACGCCTTCTAAAAGAGGCAGTTGTCATGCCCATAAAGTATCCCAAGTAAGTTAGCTGTTTCATGTTTATTGGAATAGAAGGACATGGTCTCATACTGTAATTTACAGCTGTACAATAATTCAGCCTTTCACTAGCGGTAGACTGGTGGTATCCAGTATTTAGAGGCCAGTTATCTAGCTCTATATTGCAAATGTACAAAATATGTTTTGTGTGACATACAGATAATCAATCAATCTATCAGTTATTCATAATCATATTTTGGACTATTTCAGATACTTCACTGGTCTCTTGTCACCATGGAAAGGCATTTTACTTTTTGGTCCCCCAGGAACTGGGAAGGTTTGTATATGCGCTTGATTGATATGTTACTTCTGCTAATTGGTCGAGTACATCTATGGAGTATAGCAATACTTTCTTACCTTTTCCTATATTTGAATGCAACCTCTTAAGTAGGTGTCCCTAACTACTTATCTAGTTTATAAAGTACAATAACATATAACCTTAACTCCTTAAGATGTTTAACCTAATAGCGTATGACCTAAGGATTTGTGAACCGACAAACTCATTTAATGATTGGCAAGCTACCTCTAACAACTGACATTCACCACTGGCGATGGGGTAATTTTTTTTTTTATGAACATACATCGTTATTTTGTCATGCTATATTTGCATTGTGAGTACTTTGAAATTTTCTGATTTTGCAATATCTCTGTCTATTACTATATACTTCGGTAGTCAGTTTCAAGCAATTCCTATTTGCAGACAATGCTGGCAAAGGCTGTTGCTACTGAGTGTAAAACTACATTCTTCAACATTTCAGCATCATCAATTGTTAGCAAATGGCGTGGTATGTTTCTTTGAACACCTGGTCCTGACCCCATCTTTCTTTTATTGCACAGAAAACAAGTTGTTTTTAGCTATTCTTTTTTGTAGAGTTGTCCTAGTTGTTCTCTCTTTGACCATTTAGTTTCTATGTTCGCTGATAGTGATAAGAGGGCAAGAGGCAGTAGTTAATTAGTGAGTTCTTGTTGTCATCCTCTTTTTCATCAAAGACACAGACATCCTGGTCGTTGTTGAAAGTTTTTTCCTCCTGTGCTCCCACACAATTATTTTGATCAATCTAATTCAATCATGGAACTTAAAACTTTTGATCAATAGAAGTATTTAAATATTTAATTTTAATGTTGGTATTTTTCTGTGTGCGCGCTAATGCAGGGGATTCAGAGAAGCTAGTTAAAGTTCTGTTTGAGCTTGCTAGACATCATGCACCATCGACAATATTTCTTGATGAAATTGATGCTATTATCAGCCAACGTGGTGAAGCTCGCAGTGAGCATGAAGCTAGTCGACGCTTGAAGACTGAGCTACTCATTCAGGTTTCTGCTTGTTTGAACATATCAAAATTAAGCTTGCTAGTGTAGCACTCCAAGTCACGGTTTCCTACTTCATAATCTTTCAGCTTGAAACTGTCCCAACTCCCAACAAACAATACGTCAGATTTCAAAGTTTCTATATTTCTGTCAATGTTTACTGCAGATGGATGGCTTGACAAAGACGAACGACTTGGTATTTGTACTTGCAGCAACAAATTTACCTTGGGAACTGGACGCAGCTATGCTCCGCCGGCTTGAGAAACGGGTACATTTTTTTTACATTCCGGTACTATAGTCCAATAAGTAGGGGCGGGATTAAATTTGTAAATCTTCTTTGTAATAGTCATTTGAGCTTTGCCTTGGATGGATTTTCTTTTCTTGGTGCATACTTTAGCCTAAAGAAACTTATTTTAGGACATTTGATAATGCTCACTAAACATTTGAAAATTTTGTTGTAACCTTGGTGCCTTTGGTCGTCAGATTCTCGTACCTCTTCCTGAGGCTGAAGCAAGGCATGCTATGTTTGAGGAACTTTTGCCATCAACTACCTCAAAGCTAGAGGTTCCATATGATACTTTAGTTGAGAAGACTGAAGGGTACTCTGGTTCAGATATCCGTCTTGTGTGCAAAGAAGCTGCCATGCAACCACTAAGACGTCTTATGTCAGTTCTTGAAGCCAGAGATGAGCTGGTGCCTGAGGAAGGTTAGTTTTGGTTCTTTTCTCAGTGATGCTATTTTTTTTTCTGATGAAATTATACCACTGAACTGAAAAAAAATTCATGCTATTGTTACACATTTTTATGTGATACCTTTTCTCTTGGGTTGCAGAATTGCCCGAGGTTGGTCCTCTCAAACCTGAAGACATCGAAGTTGCTTTGAGGAACACAAGGCCGTCTGCGCATCTCCATGCACATCGCTATGAGAAGTTTAACCAGGATTACGGAAGCCAGATCCTTAGTCAGGAGCAAGCCTGAACTTCTCAAAGTTCAGACATACCATTTTCAGGACGCAACATTTTTTCTGCAGCAGTTTAAGTTGTGAGGCGAACGTTACAAACGGATGTTGCTGCTGCAGCAGTTATGAAATAAATAGCATCATGAATATCGAACGCAATTGCCTCCTTTTATATGTGCTCCGCATCGTCGAAGCAGAAGGCTGGATCCTATGCTGCCAGTTTTCCTTTGCACCGGCTAATACCACTAGTATGGTACGACCAACGTCCACATGATCCATCCCATTTATAACGGACGACCAGCGATGGAGCGCGCAAACAACATGACATCGCAAAAGCGGCCATTGGCACATAATCATTCCATTAAAGGCTGATCACACGCAGAAGTGATAATATCACACGAGAAGATGTTTTCTTCACAAATGAACAGGCCCGGCGTGACCGATTTCCAGTTCGTTACATGCAAAATAAGATAACCAAGTGCATTCAATCACAACGAACTGGCTCAGCAGAGCCAACGCTTCGGGCAAACTCAAGGTAATCCCCTCACTGAATCGGCGGTCTTCCCAGACCTTGCATCAGACCAGGCCTTGGCTATTGTGCGCTTCATGTCTTCGTCACCTTCCTCATACATGTTCTGCAGACATAAGTAGCACAACAGTCAGAACAGGATTTCCAGACTAATTGTTCAAGTCTGAAGTCATGACTCATCATTATGACGGGTAGGTGTTTACCTTCATCAAATCCATAATTCCAGACATTGGATCCTTCTCCTTAGCCATGCTTGGCTTGAACTGTCAGCAAATTAAAGTTAGCACATCTATATATCATTATCAGTACCATAACCAATTATTTTAGGAGCCAAACAAATTCTACATGTAGGTGTTATCCAACTTGCCCAGACAGACTATTGAAATGACCAATTTTATTTTCAAAAGAAAAACTGAACAAAGTAACTTGGAGCAATGATTGACCAATGACCAGCAGAAATAGTGCAAGACAAGTGGATACAGAAACTTCAAACAATTGGTCAGCAATGAGATTATCGGTTTAATCATTGCACAAAAGCACGAATAATACTGAAGTGCCATAACATAAAGTTAATTATGTTAGTTGTGATTGAGAACATACGAGCATATGATTTATCATGGCAACAGAAGGATCAAGGGTAAATTAGCATAGTGAGCTTTCAGTGCTTCCTCATTGATATACATGTACGTAAGTACATAAAATGCCACATGGAGAACTAACTCAATTCACGAATGTACACTCTGGTCACCAGTTGGCATCACCGCTACCATAAATTATTTACACTGGAGAATCCAATATTTTTGGAAGTATGTTCTTTGGTGTTCAGGTTAAGAAAATGCATTAAAGCAACAATCATTGTGCATTAGAACAAAAACAAATAAATAGCTTGGCATATCAACTAGACAATTACCTTATCCTCCTTGAAATGCAAGTCTAACCAGTTGCCTTTGGAAGCTTTGTAAAGCGTCACAATAATCTTTGTAGGCTTGACTAAAACCTTGCATTTCTCAGGAACAATTTCTTTGTGCAGCTTAGGTATGGCACATCGGTAGTTCTTGCCCTTCACATCATGGAATTTTGTATCTACTGACATAGGCTTAAAAGTAGTCTCCACCTTATCTTGCTCAACACCCTCCAGGAAAACATAAATCTGAAGATGGACAAAGCTAGATTATTATCTCAATGCTCATAAAGTCTCCACATGCAAATGCCACAGGATTTGATTAATAAACAGCATAAACTTTACATATGCACTTATCATATTTTCGTCATCTTCACTAGCCCTAAATGAAGCTAATGATCCACAAGATACTGACTGACATCTCATTAAGTAAAGCAGGATACATCACATTATTGTGCTTCCAAGTTTAACAACAGAGAATTTCCTCCTCATCAATCACTATTAATACATGAAAACCATGAAACACAATATGGTCAAGAATTATTATGCCTACAAAATATCATATTATTGTACTTGCCAGAAATATATTTGATATACGACATAAATTGAATTTAAGCTCAATTGAACGGAGCATAGGAAAATAGTTTTTGCTAACATGAAATTCTTAAAGTTTTTTTAAAAAAATATATAATTGCACCTTAGCGTTAGCATGGGCATATTACTAGACACTATTAATATATGAGAGCCATGAACTAATGTCTACGTAACACAAAATGACCAAAACAATCCTAAGGTCTTGTTCGGTTAATCCCTCTTTCAAGAGGATTGAAGGGGATTTGATGGGGAATAATTCCAGACCTATTGAGATGTGGAATTAACCTCGTTCAAATCCTTCCAATCCCTTTCTCCTAGGATTAACGAAACAAGCCCTAAAAATAGAAGAATTACGGAAGTTTGTATCACTGAGTTTTCTCGTAGTTGATAACATGGCAAGCATATGCTCACCTATATAGTTTAACAATCTTATTCAAGGTACATATAAACAAAACACTAAGAAGTTTTACGTTTTTTATTTCACTTCATAAAATCAAATCATCATTAAACATCCAAGATCGTCGATCTCTTCTGTATTTGCAATTCTGCATACAGAATACTTATATCGTTTCACTATCCTCTACTCCCTTCGTCCCAAAAAAAGGCAGACCCTAAGTTTCCGTACCAACGTTTGACTATCCGTCTTATATGAATTTTTTTTATAATTAATATTTTCATTGTTGTTAGATGATAAAATATGATTAATACTTTATGCGTGACTTATATTTTTTATGCGTGACTTATATTTTTAATTTTGTTCATAATTTTTTCGAAAAAGACGGACAGCCAAGCGTTGGACACGGAAACCAAGGTTTGTCTTTTTTTTGGGACGGAGAGAGTACTAGTCAATGCAATCATTCTGCTAATTGATTCCACATATACAACAGGAATCCCTAATCAAACATTGCAACTTCTAACATATCAAATGTCCCGCAAATTTACAAGAGCTTAAATTCCAACATTAACTAGATCATACTAGCAATCACAACCATCGATCCATCATTGTTAAGCATATGCCAACCATCGAACGAGCAAAATGTTTCATTCTCCAAAGCAACATACCTTTATCTTCTCAGCATCCTGATCCCAGCTGAACGACCCCAACGTCACGTAGCTCACCCCAGCAGCAGCAGCAGGTGCCGGTGCCGCCGCCGCCGCCACTACAGGTGGCGATCCCGCCGCGACGGCCTGCGGTGCCTGCGGCTCGGTCGCTTTCGCCAGCTATCCGCACACAAAGACAAACGTCAGGAATTCCGAATCCATACGCACCACCCAAGCCCCGAAACGAATCGGCGAAGAAGATCGCGAGAGTGAAAAAAAAAAGAAAGAAAAAAGGAAATGAAACAACCTTGGCATCGACGGCGCGGATCTCGTTGGCGAGGGCGGAGAGGACGCGGGGCCGCTTGGCGAGGCCCTCCAGCCGCCGCAGCTCCTCCAGGTCCAGCCGCAGCTCGTCCGCCGACATCTCTGGAAGCTTAGCTTTCCTCTCTCCTCTCTCTCTCTCTCCGTCGCCTCTCGTGTCTTTCCGGTGGTGGGATATGAAGGGTTTAGGTCGGAAGTGGAAGGGAGGAGAACGTTCTAGAGGAATGGAGATGCAGCGACGATTCCGTGGAGGCGTCGAGAACGAGGGGCGGGCCGGCGGCCCGAACCGTTGGGCCTCACCCGAGTCATGCCCAGGAGAGAAGATATTGAGCCTTGAAAATCCGGCCCATCAAATTGAAACTGTTTTGGGGGTTATTTTTCTCGCTTTTCCAAATTTTCATGGTCCGTTCAAAATTCAAATTCCTGATCTACTACTACTTCAGGAATTTTCAGAGGCCGTTCGCTGTATGGATGGATGGCATCTTCACTTGCTTTTAACGGTGACCAATTGCAACCACTACACCAATAGTCTTCCAGTACGAGTGTGTAGGACGCGCAATGCACACTCGCCCCTACATGTCGCGAACACGTACCGGCTCGCTAGCTAGCGACCTAGCGTGCAAATTAATGTTGGGCTCCAGCAAGAAGAAGCAAAGGAAGATGCAAATGCCATCCATCTGTACGTGCCGTCGTGGCGACGCAGCCGACCCCCAACACCGCGCGATCCACAGTTCAGCACTTGAATGTTGCGGCCTTGCATGATATGCGGAGCAACAGACTAAAGGGTGTGTTTGGTTCACGGTTAAGGCTGGATGGGATATGACGATCCATATTTTGTTGGATATGGCGATCCAGTTTTTTTGGTTGAGAGAATATAGTGATCTAGTTTTTTGTTTGGTTGTAGGGATAAAGATGGATTTGGTAATCCAATTTTTTGTTTGATTGGAGGGAGTAGGATGAATTTGTAGGTGTGGTCACTTCTCACTTGAGATGGTGAGTATAACCCCCATCAAATTAATACACAATACAAATCATAAAATTTCCACAAATTTTCACTTCTATCTCCATTATAAATACACATAGAAAAAAAAAGAGGGAAAAAAGCCGGCTAGATCTGGGCCTCTCGGGGGCTCGCCGCCGCCGCCGCCTCCTCCTCAGCTTTCTTGGCCGCCTCCGCGGCTTCACCAACCTGCTTCTTGAGCTCGGCATTGTCGGCCGTGAGTATGGCGACCTCCATGTCCTTCGCCATCAGCTTGGCCTTTAGTTCCGCGACCTCCGGGTTCTCCTTCTCGCCGGAGTCAATGGCCGTTGCGTCAATGCTCTCCTCTTCGATCATCTTCTTTGTCTCTTCCTCCTCCAGTTCCTTCTCAGCCAAAGCGGCCTTTATGCCACAGCTCACCTCCTCGCCGTCCTCGGCGCCGGCCGCGCTCTGGTTCTCCTTATCCCCCGATTCGGTCCGGACGACCTCGAACACATCCGTCGCGGGGGAGTTTATGCTGCTCTCCTCCTCGGCCGGCGGCTCCGTCACCTTCAGCTGCTGCTCAGTCTTCTTGGGGGTTTCGACCGCAACCGGAGATGGGGAGCGCGGAGACGCCGCGGCGGCGGAAGCGGGGCTCCCCTTGGTGCCAACGCGCTTCTTAGCCTCCTCGAGCGCGACCTGCGCGTCCTTCTTGGCGGCCTCGGCGGTGGCGAGCTGCTCCCGCAGCTTCTTGAGCTCGTCCTGCACCTTGCCCAGCTTCGTCTCCAGCTCAGCCACCCGCGTCCCCGCGCGCTTCTTCTGTAAACCCACCAATAACCGCCAAAAGCGATTGAGCCGCTGCTCCTTGGCCTCACCGGGAAAACTGAAAACGGAAGGAGAAGCTTCGCAGCTTATTACTTACCTCATGCAGCGGGCTGCGCGGCGAGTGGCGGTCGGCGAGCTTGGGGCTGCTCCGGTCGACGACTGTACGGTGGTGCGCGCCATTCGCATCCGAGCAGGCCGTCGTCTTGAGGTGCAGCGGCGCCCGCGGCGACGCTCGCTGCGGCAGCTCGGACCCCCTGCAATCATCAACCGCGTCAGAAATGGGAACACCTCGACGGGGAAACCACCTCGCTATCGCAGGTCACGCACCTGGATCTCGGCATGCTCCGCCGCGAGCTAGCTAAGCCGGCAGCCGGCGCTGGTTGCTCTGTCCGTCCGCCCGGCCGCCCCTGGTCTCTATCCTCTCGCCGCGTCCGTCGGTCGCGGCCTACGATGAGAGCAAACGCGGGGAAGACTGGCTCATGGAAAATGCAGGCGAATGTGGCGCTGCGCAGGTAGCGGCGAAAAGAAAAGGAGCCCTCGTGCAAGGGAAAACGGAATTGTTTGCGTATTAATAAATCGTGGCACCGCCTCCCACGAGGCCACCGCACCGGTGATTTCAAATTTGAACGCAGCTGGAACGCCTTGGGAACGCCACGCCACGCACCGCACACCCAGCCGAACGTTACGTGGGTCTCTCTGGTTTTCTGGTTGGTGGCGCACCGGCTGCACGGGCGTTAATGCGCGGGGTGACGCGCAGAGCCGGACCTGGAAGAGCCGTGGGACGACGCGGGGCGAGCGGTAGCCTGTGCGCGGAGCCGGCGCCGTCGCCGGGGTTGTGAGCCACACCCACATGGGTCATGGCGGGTGGCCAACTTGCAGGCACTGACCGTCTCGGCAGAGGGCAGGATGACGAGCCAGCCGGCGTTGATCGGCTCAGGGATCGCTGCCGCTGCTGCTCGAAAAGCGCATCGCTTGTACGGGTACGTGACAGGGAGATGCTTTGGCTTTGCGTGACCGTTTGGCTGCTTGCCAAGGGGGGGGGGGGGGGGGGGGGACAGTGCAAGCCAGCAGCTCGTGGACAAACGGGGCTGTACGCCAGAAGGACAAGCGGGGGCTGGAGTACAAGTACAAACAATTGAAATCGTAGTACAGTCTACAAGAGGGGGGGGGGGGGTTTCATTTTCATCGTGACGGGGTTAATACACGTAGTAGTAGTAACAGCTACGACAAGTGAGGCGTACTCCACTTTTGAAGCAATCAGGCGGCAATCCACGGGCTCTGATTTGCTTTGCCTTTGCATGCACCATTAGTAAGCTCACATGCTTCAGGCCCTCTCCACTACACTCGCTTTCGCGGTGGTTTGTACTGAACTTTTGAGCTCTACTAACTACAGTAGTTTACTGTGTGTGCTTCTGATGATTGTTGAATGTCCCCTATCAACTTTATCTCACATGTAGCTTTTCTGCAATCCTTTCTTTTTACAATTCTCCAACGAATACTACTCCCTCCGGTTCCATATTAATTGATGTTTTGGACAAGATTGAGATCAAATTTTTATAACTTTGACCATCAATAACTTTAAAAATATTTAGTTTAAAGAAACTAGAACAACATATATAGATTTGTCTTTTATAGCACTATAATAAAAGTAAACATGCATTTATTTATCTATTATATAATTAAAGAAAAAAAAAAGGAGCATCCACGTTCGCTGTCATGGCCTAGAAATTCTCACATTAATCGGAGAAAAAGAAAAAAACAAAGTCCATATAGAAATACAATTTAGAAATAGCTGAAATTCGGAATTAAAAAATAAGAAATATTAGAAGAGGTGACTAGAGTCCATATAGAAATACACTTTAGAAATAGCTGAAATTCGGAATTAAAAAATAAGGAATATTAGAAGAGGAGACTAGAGTCCATATAGAAATACAATTTAGAAATAGCTGAAATTCGGAATTAAAAAACAAGGAATATTATAAGAGGAGACTAGAGTCCATATAGAAATACAATTTAGAAATAGCTGAAACTTGGAATTAAAAATAAAGAATATTAGAAGTAGAGTATAGAGTCCATATATAAATACAATTAGGAAATAACCGAAATTCGGAATTAAAAATAAGAAATATTAGAAGTAGAGTATAGAGTCCATATAGAAATACAATTAAGAAAAAATAGAAATTTGGAATTAAAAAATAAGGAATATTAGAAGTATAGTATAGAGTTCATATTGGAATTTAATACCAACTAAAATTCGAAATAAAAAGGAGCCTCCACGTTCGCTCTCATGGCCTAGAAATTCTTACATTAATCAGAGAAAAAGAAAAAACAGAGTCCATACAGAAATACAATTTATAAATAGCTAAAATTCAGAATTAAAAAATAAGGAATATTAGAATATGAGAGTAGAGTAGTTATTACACATAGTAGTTTTGAAAAGTTATTGCAAAATTTAAAATTATGTTGTCATTGTAATATATTTTATAATAATATAATGAGAAAACATATATGCTATTATATGAGAGAAAATATAATTATGCTAGCCGCGCAATCTGCGCGAGCCACCATGCTAGTTATATATATTATAGTAGAAAAATAAAGTCAAACATATATCTTGTAGGCCATATCATTGTCCAAAACGTCAATTAAAATGGAACCGGAGGGAGTACAGTTCTAGGGAAACCGACAAGAAAGAGAAAAGGGCAATGCTAGAATTGCCGCAGGACAACTAGTAATGGACACAAATGAAGGAATTTGGATGGCTCAAGCCGCACAAGCGAATGGGCAGCAATTGGGAAATCAATGTACTAGGCCGGACCGCCATTGCTCGCAAGGAAGGTTGTCGACGCGCAATCGGCAATAGGTATGGTATTTATAGACTAATAATCTATAAACTGGAGTAGTTTTTAAGTAGGCTGCGAGGGAAGTTGAATTTGCAAGTGTAGAAATATCGGGCACGCACAAAAAGTCGTCAAGAGAAATCAGATGCCCGAATTGATCGATCGATGCGGCAGAAATAGATCTCGTGGCAAAGTCAGATGGAGCAGCTGAACGAATGCTACTTCATACCTAGCTAACTGATGTGCGCGATGTTACCAGCATATCTATAGCTTATTAGGGCATGTTAAATGCGTGACCCTAGAGAGAGTATCCCTAGCGATGGCCGTTTGCTTTTCCGTCCACGTCGTCCCCCCACGATGGAACGCGGCTCTCTCTGCGCCTCGCCAACTTTTTTGTGGGGAGTCGCAGCCAGGCGCCGCGTTGAGCGCATGTGGAGCTCGTGGGCATGGCGTCGTTCCCCCAAGTTTCCCCTTGCACCCTCGCCTCACTCTCGCTCTCTCCTCAGTCTTGTCGCACCGCGCCTCCTTCTCCGCTTCGTGCGTCCGCCGGCGCTGGGGTCAGAACGAGGAGCTGCGGGGCGGAGGGGTTGGCGCCACGCCCGACACCGTTGGCATCGCCACCATTTCCATCCCGATCTAGCCGCGGGAGGGCCAAATCCGCTAGCGTTGGCACCGGATTTGCCGCCCCCGGCCGGCGACGGCGCGAGGCGGAGGAGGCCGGGGAGGATGACAACGATAGAGAGAGGCAGAGAGAGCGGTGGAGCTAGTCCGCCGTCAGTCAACCGCCGTTCGTTGTCGGCCACCCCGCGTGCCGCTTGCCGTCCGCCACCGCACCCGGCACCGGCGAGGTGGACGGCAACGAGCTGCGGGGAAGAGAGGGGGAGATCGACGACGAACGGTGGCAGGAGAGAGAGAGAGAGGGCGTGGAAGAGGCAGACGGATCTGGTGAAGCGGGATCTGGTGAAGCGCGGTTAGGTGGACGGCGACGAGCGGCGGTGGGCCAACGACAGCGTGGAGGAGAGAGGGAGAAATCGGCGGAGTGGAGGAGAGGAGACGAGAAGAGACGAGGAGAGGGGAGGAAGAAAAGAGGAGCGCGTTGGTGGGCAGGGAGGGGTACTTTCGGAATTTTGTACTTGGGGCTACCTTGGACTAGACACCCATTGTGGGCTGAAGTATCTTCGTCAAATGGCCTCAGATTTTAAAGAACCCATTAGGAGTATCCTTCATTGGGAGGTGAGTTTCCTATAGAGTGTCCTCGGTTAGTGAGGACACTTTAATGGTGGTTTTGATTGTACATGCCCTTATGCTTACTCTGAGCTGGTGTTGGAATACGTCTCCTATGCAAACGAGCATATCTTGTACATGATAACACGAAGGTCTTCCGAGTTTTAGAAACTCAGAGGGTGTTTGAGCCATCTCTCCAAAAAAAATAAGTCCCTAGCCTCCCTCCCAAACACTCTCAGATAGCAGTATCTCGAAAGGCAAACATGACTATTTTTACTGTAAAAGGTTCCTTTTTTCTCAACAGCCAAGACTAAATTCCAACAGGCTGCAAAATATGGATGCTCTAGTAGGAGTAAATAAAAGATGGACAACGTCATACACGTACATGATGTACTGAAGTCAAGAGATCGATCCATATCTTGTGGCCGGCTGCGACATCACCTGCTCACCTACATGCGCATAGATCCAAGCGGAAATACCATAAATGATCACGACAGGTCACACACCTACTCCAACTTGGAACACATATAACACGAAGTATGGGCGACGAGATCGATCACACAAAGGAAACAAGACGCGCACTGCACACATGAATGATCAGGTCATCAGGACATCCGCTCCCCCACACAACTACGACTGTGTTTTCAGCGCAAAGTTTAAATTTTGGTTAAAATTGGAGATGATGTGACTGAAAAATTGTGTGTGTATGACAGGTTGATGTGATGAAAAAGGACTATAGTTTAGATTCAAAATCTAAACACAGCCTACACAAGCGAGTACTACCATATACCCTGGACCGGAAGTAGAGTACCAAGAAAAAACAACGCGTATGTATGTGCAAGGACGCATAAACTGTGGGGCTTGAGGACAAACGAGAAAGAGGGGGGGAAGGGTGAGGAGGAGATAAAGGTGCCAAAAAAAGCTCTCTTGTTGGAATGCACGTCAAGCCATGGAACATGGCGAGGCACGGCGAGATCAGTGAGATAATGAGATGTCCATGGAAGGTCGTGTGCGTGGCGTGGATGCTTGCGCTCATGTGCGGTTTGGTTCCTTTGCTGTCACTACAGCGGTCTTCTCGTTCCTAGTTTCTGCTGCTGCTTCTTTCGTCTCGAGGAAACTAAACTATTCCATTGGAATTGGCTTGTTCCATTTGCAGGTGATCGAAAACGCATGGAAGGGCTGCAGCTGCACTGCCTCGCGGAAGGCAAGGCGCATGGTGTAGGCAGGGGTCGCCTGCGCGAGCTTTGTGGAAGGCTGTGACTGAGTGAGAGCAATTTGGTTATAATCCCTCCAGTTAACAATATTTGAGTTGGGAGTATCAAGTTTAGCCACGTCAATTATTATCGAATAGAGAGAGCGACAGAGAGGAGGGCCTTAATAAGATTTATTTTCCGGATCTTCATGGTTTGAAAGTTGAAATATCAATGGCATCATGATCTAAGGTTGTATTCCTTGGTGCCAGTTAGGAGTCTTGGAAAATAAATTAATATAAATTTTTAAGCAACTTTCTTAAAGAAACTTTTGAAAAAAAAACACACAATTTAGTAGTTTGAAAAATGTGCACACGAAAAACGAGGATTGGGAACAAGGGGTGCCGAATATAGCCTAAGTCGGTTGAAAACGTTCTGCATCGTATATATCTTGTTGGGCCAATTGATATTTATAAATTTTCGACTATCCATCTACCCATTGATAAATTAATAGATAACACCTCTAAAAATAATACGAACTTTCAAACATCCAAACATCTGATAGCTGCAAGATTCATGGACACCCATAAACCCTAGTTCCACCCCCCTCTCCTTCCTCGTTCCCTTCTCACTCCTAGCACCGTCATGCGCGATACCAGACACCATCGCGACGCTTGAGCGCTCGGTCCCGAAACCACCGTCGCCTGCCTAGCCTCCCTAGTTGGTAAAAAGACACCAATATCCTCCCGACTCGCCTCTTCCCGATCTCCTCTTGAGTCGACGGTAGTGAGGTGCCCCGCCTCACTGTCTTCCCCGTCTCTTATTGCTCCCCACTACCAGATCCACCACCACCAGCCGCCTCATCCTAACTAGTCACTCTGTTTTGCCCCCACCATCCTCCTCCATCGCGATAGCTCCATCGATGCATCGCCTCACTACTCGCCCTAGTCCAACGTCCACTGCCAGTCCTCCGTTGCCCACGGCTATCCCTCTAAGCCACAAGGAAACCCCTATCTTCCCCCTTCCTCTGCCCTTTCCTATTTAACCCTCCAATCCCAAAACCCCAAGTGACTGAGGTTACTGCCGTCCCGTGGAAGCTACCATGACTTGTCGGAGTTGAGGAGAAGGAGACCAACATGAATTATATTTTTGCGTAAATTTAATGGTCCAAATTCGATAGAAATACTCCCCTCCTAAAAAAAGAAAAAAAATCTTTTGCAAAAAGGTTAACAATTCGGCAAAATTTAATATGGCCAAACAAATGTATTCAGTTTCATCCATTTTCATGGCTAAAATTGCAAGGAACCAGTTTCCTACGTTAGAGGGACGTTTAACTCACGATCTCCATCGCTTGTGCACCGGACAACTCCAGTCCGTCCTTTGTCCTTCGGCCCAGAAATGCAAAGTCCAGCATGCTCGTTCCGCCTATGCTCCACTGGGGCTCGTGGCACAAGGAAGCTCCAGCCCTCGGAGCTGCCACTCGACCCGTCGTCGTCTAGCCGGGGTATGCGGTGCTGCCGCCGGCGAGGGCGGATTCCTCTTGACCTCGATTTTGCTGCCAACCCTAATGTTTTGATAGGGCGGCACTTTGAAAATTTTAGTAAGGCCTGGTTTAGTTTCTAACTTTTTCTTCAAACTTCTAACTTTTTCATCACATCAAAATTTTTCTACACATACAAATTTTTAATTTTTTCGTCACATCGTTTCAATTTCAATCAAACTTCTAATTTTAATGTGAACTAAACACATTCTAAGGTAGGAAAATAAAACAAGCCTTTAATTTGTTTAGTCTGATGTGCAGCTAAGCAAACATTGGCCCTGTTTAGTTCCAAAGTTTTTTTTTCCAAACTTCTAATTTTCTATCACATCAAATCTTTCATATATACAACTTTTCTATCACATCGTACCAATTTTAACTAAACTTCCAAACTTTAGTGTTAACTAACACAACCAAAGTAAAGTAATGCTTGCAAATCTGCAATGCTGCGCCTGCCAGGCCTTGCTCAACGTAAATTGGTCAGCACGAAACTGTCGAAGTCCTCACTCCTCAGCACCTAAATGCAAATTGAGGAGTAATCTAATAATTGGAATGCGTTAGTTCAGAATAATAATTGGAGTCAGTAGTACCAATCAAACGCTAGGATATTACACTGTCAGTGCAAACATTTCCACGTGGTTCTCGTACTATGACACAGAATTGCGAAAAACAAATGCACTGGCTGCTCTGCACTTTACAGAATAAAGGTAAAGCTGGCGATGGCATTGGAACAGGAACTAAACAGTGGGTAAATTATGTATCGGTAGCAAGGCACAGTGGCGCCACACAGCCTCACCGAGGGCTACATGGAAACGGGTTGCCTCAAGCTGTAAAGGCCTCTGACAGACGGGGTCCCGTCTCCCGACCCATCCCGTTCGTTTTTGCACGCTGCAGCAAGCGGCCAAGCAGAGGGGCCCAGCGATCGGATCGCCCCCCCTCCCCGTCCCCCTCTATACGATACCACTGCTCCTCTCCCCCCCCCCCTCCCCCTTCCTCCTCCCCTTCTTCTATTCCTACTACAGTACATTAAAAATTTTTTTAAAAAAAGTTAAAAAAATTTATGTATAGAAATACTATATATAGAAAATTTAAATTCAAATTTAAATTTGAATCAGGTATGTAAACTTTTGACTTATAAACTTTAGGTCTATAAACTTTAGATGTACAGAAATACAATATATAGAAAATATTTGAATTCAAATTCAAATTTGAATCGGATATAATTCAAATTCAAATTTGAATCGGGTATATAAACTTTAGGTCTATAAACTTTAGATGTATAGAAATACTATATATGAAAAATATTTGAATTCAAATTCAAATTTGAATCGGATATTTGAATTCAAATTCAAATTTGAATCGGGTATATAAACTTTAGATGTATAGAAACACTATATATGAAAAATATTTGAATTCAAATTCAAATTCAAATTTGAATTGGATATAATTCAAATTCAAATTTGAATCGGATATATAAACTTTAGGTGTATAAACTTTAGATATATAGAAGTACTATATATAAAAAATATTTGAATTCAAATTCAAATTTGAATCGGATATATAAACTTTTGGTCTCTAAACTTTAGATGTGTAAATTTGAGGTGTATAAACTTTAGGTGCATAAATTTACTAAAATAGGAAAGTAATACGGTGCCAAAAATAGAAACCAGGTGGAGGGAGGAGGGGGGGAATTTGATCGCTCTGGGCGACGCGCTCGCTCAATAACATTTCCGCAAGCTTTGGCCCCCGCTCATTTCCACCTCGCATTCTCTATACTACAGTTATTACACCGTGCGTATCGGTCAGCGCACCGTCTTTTACGGTTTTACCGGAGGTGCCGCTTCCGTGGTTCCGTGCCGTGTAGTGGAGGACGTACTACCCGGCCTTTAGAGCAGTATAGCCAAATGTTACTAAGTCCAGATCACTTATAGCTAATCTAATAGTCCATTTATATAATAGTTATTTATAAAAATATACTACACCATTAATATCCGATCCCACCTCTCATACACACAAAACATCTTGGAGTCTATGTTACACTTGACTATAAATCCATAACCCGTTTGCTTCTCTTTCTCTTTTCTTCACGATATGTGGTTATAGCTAGCTTATAAGCTGCTATTGTACTGGCTGAGTCCCGGAGCAAAGGCTGTTGCCTTGTTGGCGTCGGGCGGTCGGGCCACGACGCACCGCACCGTCCCTGCCGCGTGGTCCGGGGACGCCGGGCCGGCTGCCTCCAAGGTTCCAAGTCCCCAACGGTGGGAGTCCCGCACGTACGCGTTGCGGCGATCGCATTTCGCCCGATGCCACGATTAGATCCATCACGCCGTCGGTGGACGGAGGGGCCCCCGTCGGTGGTTGTTCGTCCCGCCGCGCTCGCGCGGTGGGCATGCGTACGTGGGGGAGGTGAATAGGTGATGCAGTCCGGCCAGCCGCCAGCGGCCATGGCGGAAAAAGCGATGGGGACAGTACGACTCGGAGGGGCTCCTCCTCCCTTTCGGTCGGCGATGTCACTTTCATATAGCCATGCGACACGAGACAAACTGGAACGTGCATTACAATCTTGATCGGACGACAGAACATCGTTCCTCAGATCCACCAGTTAGACGCCAGCAGGAACAGCATCCACCATATATATCCACAGAGTACAATTCGAGTGCTGAAAGTTGTAGAGAGAATCAGGAGTAGTAACTGGGAACTGTAGACTGAGAGTAATCGTTCGACTGGACGACTCCACTAGCATGTGCTAGTGCCTTCAGTTGCGTCTGATGATACTGCAAGTGATCAAGGCTCATCTTCAATACCACAGCAACATTGCTGCAACATCTGTGAAAAGTCTCAGATTTGAGCCCTCTGGTACGGATTAAGATCATCTAATGTGAAGTTAAAAGGACGTGGTTACTGACATGTGGGCTTCACCATCCACAGGCTCACATGCCAATGACCACGTCAAGCATAAGTTCACATTAGAGGATCTGCTTCCCTACAATAGATAATACTACTGATAGAAGATACTAAGGTACTACTACATGTTTCTATCAACAGTCAACATGTTCTTCCTCCCTGAAAGGCTGAAATGGATGGACGACACGGTCACGTCCATGCATGCGGAAGCTTCCATTGGAGAGACAGCATATCGTGTATAGTGGCTACGAGGATATTGACACCATCTGTCTCAGCAACGACCAACCAGTTCAACCAACATATTAATCACATTGCACACAGAAGCAGCACATCTGCGCTGCACATGGTGGGAAGGCAGAATCTTCACTGGTAGATCTGTGAAGCCAAAAGACGTCAATGGTGTCCTGCCTCAGGTCCAAGATATGGTCTTCAAAAACTAACTATTATCCATAGCTTATTTCTGAAGCAATTGAATAAAGTCAGGCCAGTCCAAAGAATATTATGAGCTGTTCAATACCCGGACTGCCGCTGAAAAAGAAGAAGATATGCCAAGACAGTGTTTGTCAAATTATAGGATCACAAATCCAGCAACAGCAGCTGCTGCAGACTGCAGTATCCAATATCCCTCGACCCAAATTAAAGCCTAACTGGAAAGAAGCAGAACTGCGACAGGGTAGTAATGCCGGTACAACAAGTATAAGATTAGCTTTGTTCTACCATATTGACACATAAATCTAACAAGTAGAACGAGTGCTCTAAGGAATGATATCATAAATCAGTACAAGGACTACAAACTCCGAGGAAACTCTTGTTCTAGAACAACATGGCCTTGTATAACATGCTAATCGTGCTAATTAAATCTGTAATGAGCTAATGTTTTACATATTCTACATCTTCTAATGTGGCAATCCATGACTTCATGGCACAAAACTGAATCTAACTAGTCAGTTACTTCTTATCAGTTCATTGTTCTAACCTGCTTTGATGAAGCAGGCATGAATAATACCAAAGGAAAGCTCTGAACTACACAAATTCAAGGTCTCCACAAGCTGCTTCGTCCAATACATTCCTGTCCAGGCCTGCACTTGCCGCTTCTTCCAATTCACTATCTACATCCATGTTTTCTTCCTCTTCCACTTCATCTGTGCCAGCTTTTCTCATTGGTTCTTCAATTTCGTCTTTTGGGTAGACTTTTACTCTGATGCGTTTGCCTTTGATGCGTCGATATTCCCATTTTGGTGGTGGATATTTCTTCTTTAATTTTACATATTTGTCCAACATCCCTAACTTCTGGAATACCTCACCAAGCATTCTGATAATCGAACCGTCAGGTCTAACACCCAGCTCCTCCATATCAGCAAAGATCTGGCAAATTTACAAGAAAGACAACAATGATTAGATCTTTAGAATCTTGGCAATAAATAAGCAATTCTACCAATGTTTCCTTGAGTATAACTTCTCAACAACAAAAAAGGTTGGGTTCAGAACATGAGCGGGAGACCAAAACCACATATTTAGTCCAAAGTTGGTGAACTAACAGTTGTTTTGTCAAGTAACACAAATGTGTCTCTTTGTACAAAGAATGCAACTTTGCCCTCTTCTGGGAGTAAGTTAAAGTCATAGTAATAATGGATTATGTTTTCTCATCCAACATGACTACGAAAAGGAACAAAAATTCCTAAAACAGTTAATACAATAGCTGCAACAGGAACTGTGCCATCCGCTGTACTGAAATGACTATTGCTTATAAGCAAGGTCCTTTGGGAGCAATTCAGGCTTATTGCATAGGCTGGTTGAGATAGGCTTCAGCCTCTTGGCAGAAAGTGGCCTTGAGCTTCATGAGAGGACCAATAACCCACGCCCTGTTTGGGGTAGCTTAATCTTCTGGGAACTTTAAGCTAAAGCTTATCCTCCACAAAAAAAGGGCCCAAGCTACCAAGTCAGGTCGATATATGAAACACGAAACTTTCAAAAGGATAGAATCTTCGCACTTGACTTGATAATCTATCACAGGTGGGCCATGGGCTTGTTTCAACATTATTTGGAATCAGAAATTCCATACCTACCAAATTTTCTTTTTCTTTTCATAAAATATGCCTACCAAATTTTCATCAGTGGATATGTGTAGCATCTGCTTCTCAATAACATTCAATAGAGCTATTCAATTAAGATGCCATTTCGCAGTGGACCTTTCGAGGAGGACCTAAGATATTAAAACACTTGCAAAATGATAACAGTCTGAAACATCATCATGTTCAAGCAAATTGTAGCATAGAAAATGTAGTTTGTCAGTGCAGTAAGCAGCAATGAAGACTTTCCATTAAGCATACAAGCAAAGGCAGCACTAAAAAACATGGAGCCAAATGATAGTCACATGGAAGAAATAAATCCAACCCATGAATATTATTTCTAACATTGTGGCTGCTGATACATACCACAGGCTAATATCATGAGAAACTTACTAAACGATATCCAAATACCTAGCTCTCTAAGATTAGCACACTGTTAGGTTTTCCTAGTCCAAATATCTCTGATCAGTACACTGTTAGGTGGAAATAAAACCAGTAGAAAAACAAAGAAAAAATTTAAACAAAATTACAACTTACTATCTTAACAATACTTATGTGTTAGGCTGTTAGCAGAAAATTTTTACAAGTTCACTTCTGTTCCTCCATGCAAGGGAAACCATGGTCCAGAATTAACATAAGAAGGGTGTACATTAGAACAAAAGTATAATATATTTGGATTCCTACCTCAAACATCTTCTGATATGATTCTAGTCTGTAATATAAAGATATCATTCTCATGAAAAAGGTATGAGGCAAACCCTCCAAATATCGTGAGAATATTTTTCCATACAGCTCTTCTGCTTCCTCCACTCGTCCATCCTCAATCAAAGCATTCAACAAAGTGTAATAACTTCCCATTGTCTTTCCTTGACCTTTGTTAAACATCCATTTAATAACCTGAGTCACAAATTCTGTAGTTACTACAGTGTTTCAGAAAAAAAAAAGGTATATTATAAGGGAGCAGCTAATTCTTGACAGTCAACACGACACTAGAAATATGTAGTTTTCATGCAGGAGATATTTACAGTGTATATGCACAAGTCCAGTCTGAGATTTTTACTGCAATTACATGAGAGGAACACATTGGACACAATAATGAAACCAATGCAACAAGACCTGAATTATCCGTTTCCATTCCTTTTCATCTTCAAGGGTCTTAAGTGCCTTCTTTACTGCTATCAAGGGAAACTCCAATTCCCATGCAACAAATGAATCAAGAGCACCATATACTTCCTCCTTTACATTAGACAAGCCTTTAACCTACAGGAAAGGACAAAAGAACAATAATTTCAGGTACTCGAGGCATGAATAACACCAGGTAGTCTGAATCTGTTGCAGCAAAATCCGTCATGCAAAAATGTGAAATGAAACACTTGCAGTCTTTTGATGTTTGGCGCCTGCTTTATCAGAGAGAATACATAAGCTGCTTAATGAAAAAGAGGACAACCACAACTATCGCAAACTGAAGAGCTGCAGCAGCGGGTGAATTCTAGAGTAGCTATTGGTAAGCAGGTGTACGATAAACCATATAATTTAGCACCTCACCAGGAAGATGTTGGATGCAAAAGCGGATACAAACTGCAACTGAAATTACAGCACAGGAAAGCAGAAGAACCTCACACATTCGACAAGCTTTTGAGACTTGGAAACGGTTCCGATTCTCTTGCGAGTTTTCCACACACGAGGATATCTTGGCCTCGGGCCCCTGGCACCACATACCTACATCACAATCGTAATCAAAACCATCAGTTTAACTGCAGCTCCAGCACTATCGCAAGAACCACATGCAGTACAGCTGAACTGAACTTACCACTAAAGTACTGAACTTTGAAGGATGCGTAATGGCAGCCCTTTCCAATCCAAAGGCGAATGCAGGCGGCCCGCACCTCACAGAAAACATCGTGTAACCTGCCGTGACAAACAATCGGATAAACCTTCCGCAGCAGACAGTGCTGGTCCGTATACGAAACAGGAAAAGGGATAGCGAGCAAGAACTGCGCAAAGAATTGGGAAGAAAAAGTTCTAGCTGTCCTCTCCTCTTCCCCTTCTCGCTCGCCCCACCTGAATAGGGGAATCGAAGGGACGGGAGCACATCTCACCTTGTAAGAGGGGAGGAGCAGTTGCCGCCGTCGCTGGCCTCGGTGAATCCGTGCGCCGCGGCGGCTTCGTTCTCCGCGGGGCGTAGAGTCCGGGAACGGGAGGAGGGACGCAGCCGCACGACCGCAACGCAATCTCTCCGCCCCACTGGGCAAGATAATTTCAGCGTTGGATGAAAGGTGAGGCCCACTGTCAGTGGCTCAGGCCTGTAAGAGTAAGATATCAGTATCGTTTTCTGTCAAATAAAGAGGAAAAGAAAAAAAAAAGGAAAAAGGGAATAGGGAAGCGAGGGCGGAGTACGGCGCGCTTCGCCGTTGCCGGAGGCGGCGGGGGTGAGGGCAGCGAGCGATGCCGGTGGCGAGGCCGGAGCCGCAGGAGCCGCGGGTGATCGCCCATGTCGACATGGATTGCTTCTACGTCCAAGGTCACCTACCTACCTCCTCCTCTCTCTCTTCCCCCCTCGCCGCCGTCGCCACGACTCGACCCCCAAACTCGCGGAATGATGCCTCTGACGTGAGGGAGTGAGCGTTTATTTTATTTTGCCGCAGTTGAGCAGCGGAGGAACCCGGAGCTCAGGGGGCAGCCGACCGCCGTGGTGCAGTACAACGACTGGAAAGGCGGCGGGCTGATTGCCGTCAGCTACGAGGCCCGGAAGTTCGGCGTGAAGAGGTGCGATGAGAGCCCGCTCTCTCCTTCTCCGCGGAGGCGATTTGATCGGCTGGGTTTTCTGACGGATCGATTGTATGCTCATTGTTGTGGTTATTCAGGTCCATGCGTGGTGATGAGGCCAAGATGGTCTGTCCAAGTATCAATTTGGTTCAGGTTCCGGTGGCCCGTGACAAGGCCGATCTTAATGTTTACCGTAGTGCTGGCTCTGAGGTTGGTCTGTGCATCTTAATTGGTACAATTGACAATGGAAAATGAAGGTGCTTCCATGGCATTGACAGTTTTGCGTCTAAACTCTCAGGTTGTCACAATCCTCTCGACCAAGGGGAAGTGTGAGCGAGCATCCATCGACGAAGTTTATCTTGACCTTACTGATGCAGCCAAGGAAATGCTTTTAGAATCTCCACCGGAGTTATTGGAGTTGATTTTTGAGGAGGCCACAAAGTCAAATATCCTGGGCCTTCCTTCTGTAATATTTGTTCTCCACGATTTAATTGTTGTTTCTCTGCAATTTGATATGAATGTGACCAATAGGGCTTCATATGTGCAGGATGTCAGCAACAGAGAAGATAGCGTGAGGGCATGGCTTTGTCGAGCCGATGCTGATTACCAGGATAAGTTACTATCTTGTGGGGCTATAATTGTTGCGCAATTACGGGTCAAGGTTTTGGAGGAAACCCAATTCACATGTTCTGCTGGTATTGCTCACAATAAGGTTTATATGCATTCCTTTCTTTCGATTGAAGTTTGGTCTCTTTTACTCTGTAAACCTCTCTTCCTATTGCAATCCTCACCCAAGATGTTGCTGTGTTTTGTAGATGTTAGCAAAACTTGTCAGTGGGATGCACAAACCTGCTCAGCAGACAGTTGTTCCATCATCAGCAGTTCAAGATTTTCTAGTATCACTGCCCATAAAGAAGATGTAATGAGCTAATGTGACACCTCCATCTTTGCTAGTTTCTTGGTTTCTGTTGGACAAAGTTTTTCAAACATCCTATTTATCTGGTCTCATGGTTGTGTTGTTTGCTTAAATTATGCAGGAAGCAACTTGGTGGTAAGCTTGGGAGTTCCTTGCAGGATGACCTTGGGGTCAATACTGTTGGTGATCTTCTAAGTTTTACAGAGGACAAATTACAAGAGTACTATGGAGTAAATACAGGGTAACCTGGTGCTTGCATTTATTTTTTTGCTCTACTGTTGTTTGGTTGCCCTACTGATTTTATCTTTAGTACATGACTTAACTTTAGAGCTGATAGAAGGCTAGTTTTATGCATTACAAGGAAGCATACTTCATGCAGATTTTACAACTTTCGGATGTCATGTCTAGTTAATAATAACTCAGCTTATAACCGTTTAATCTCACGCAGGACGTGGTTATGGAAGATTGCAAGAGGTATTAGTGGAGAAGAAGTTGAGGATCGTCTTCTACCAAAGAGCCATGGGTGTGGAAAGACATTTCCTGGCCCAAAAGCATTAAAGAATAATGCTTCTGTAAGTACTTACACTCTGTCATTTTTGTTTAGGGATGCTTATAGCAAAGCATATCCAGGAAGTCTTTTGATGACTATGTTCATTTGGTATAAGCCTTGACTACTTGCTTTGGTCCATCAAAGTCATAAGTAGTGATATAAGCTCATCACTCCAATCAACAATTGTCATGGGCATTGGGTCGGGAGTCCGGCCCAATGGGAACGATATCCTCACCCCTCACGATAAGTACGTAACTCACTTGCATAGAGTCAGGGTCTGTTGGGATTAGGTTAAGGAGTTCTCCATCTATATAAGGAAGGATCCTATTCCAGGTCAGTTAGGCATTAGATTGAGTTATCTCTTAGTGCCAACCGGCCCTGCCTTCCCGGCGCGACGTCGATAGGACTCCGTCGCGCTGTTTAGGTTCAGGGACAGTGCTGTTACTTCCTCTTTTCATCCCAAATAATCCTAGCACGTGACAACAATTGATATTGGAAGAATCAGATCCTCATTTAGCTGTCATTTAGTGACAGTTTACTGATATATCCAGTGTCTGTGCGCCTTGATTGATCATGTAATAATCTAATCAGATACCTTCTACACCTCATTTCTAGAGCACTAGGCTGGAGCCTACCCTCCTACTTGAGTACCAGATGCTCCTATCAAATACTCCCTCCGTCCCATAATATAAGGATTTTGACATTTTGGTTGCACTGTTTGACCACTCGTCTTATTCAAAAAAATTCGTGCAAATATAAAAAACGAAAATTTGTGCTTAAAGTACTTTGGATAATAAAGTAAGTCACAAAAAAAAAATAATTCCAATTTTTTTTAATAAGACGAATGGTCAAACAATTCAAGCAAAATGTCAAAATCCCTTATATTAGGGGACGGAGGGAGTACTAGTTTGGCTAGTGGCATGTTGTTGTGTCCATTCAATTACATTAAGATATGTTGCGAGCCTAATTAAATAGGTCCTTTGTATTGCCTGATTCAAATCCCACATGTGTTTGCACAGCTCCATATATGTATTTCCTGTGTAGTTTAGAGAAGTTTATGTTCTAAATATTTTACAAATGGGAATTTCATGGTCCTTTAATAATATCAGGTTCATGTTTAGGTTAAGACATGGCTGGATCGACTTTGTGAAGAACTGAGCGAACGGATTCAGTCTGATTTGAACCAGAATAAGAGAATTGCTCAAACACTAACTCTCTATGCCAGGGCATGTAAGGTACTTGGTGCAAATTATCTTTTTCCCCCCTAGGATTGCATAAATTAGCTCTTAGTTTCTGTAACTTAAAATGAATATATAGTTTATTTACTGATTGCTTTGCTACAGAAAAACAAGTCTGATTCAATCAAGAAATTTCCTTCCAAATCTTGTCCGTTGCGTTATGGGACTGTCAAAATTCAAGAAGATGCAATGAAGCTATTTGAATCTGGGCTTCATGATTTCTTGGGTTCTCAGAACACAAAATGGAGCATAACATCTCTTTCTGTTTCAGCAAGCAAAATATTCGACATACCAATTGTATGCATACTTTAACTTTATCAGTAATAAGTATATCGATTTGCTCTCATGTTTAAATAACCAACATCCCTGGAGAAATAAGGATCAGAGCAAAATGATTATCTTGTTTCTTTGATTGCAATACACCATGCATTTATTGATATTGCATTAGCTTCTGCTCTCAAAAGTTGAGGGTTATTTCTGAAATTGTTATCTGATGTACAGAAGCTTTTTTAACATTAACAAATGTGCTATAACATTGTATCTAGTTTGTCACTACTTGTACTGTGTCAGCAGGCCTTGAATATGATTAGACATACAAGCACGTTATGAATTTATTTCCTTCATTTTCTTTTTATATTTTTCAGGGAACAAGCTCTATCTTGAGATACATTAAAGGACCAAATTCCACTGTTTCACCAGCTAACCTCGATTGTTCTTCTTTACCTGAGGATCCATCTCTTGGTAAGATTAATAAGTTCAGTAATACCAGTCTGTATTTTTGTCATCTCTTACAGTACTTATCTGTTGACATGCTTCTCTAGGTAACAAGTTATATATAGCACCTAATCATGAAGAACACTGTGAACCATCATTATCTGAGAAAGAAGACTATGGAAACAATAGTAATTTAGCCAAACAGTGTCAAATAAAGGAAGAAAAAAAGGTGTCAAAGAAGTTAACTGAAGTTAAGGTCAGATGTTCTTTCCCTCTTTGGATACATGAAACCAGCTCCTTGTGGATCAGTTACCGGGTCTTGAATCCTTGAACCTACATTACCAGGGTTAAGATTCACAAAATCATTATTCAGTTTAGTCAATCAAAATGTGGTTAGTTTTAGTTTACTTGTGTAGTTACTGGGCCTTGAATCCTTGGAAGTGATATAGAAGAATGCTATATTTGTGTTGGAAAAGAAGGAGCAATGTATCCCAGCAGTTAGTGATTTGTTTTTTCAGAATTTTTAGGAGTAATGATTAATGATGTTCTACTATGTCAGTAAATAGATTAATAATATTGACTCCTTTCTTGTGTATCTCGTATTCCTTTAGTTGCTAAACTTCCTTTTAAGTAGACATTTAGATCCTTGCTAATATATTTTTTCAACTACTCCCTCCGTTTCATAATATAAGAGTTTCTAGCATTGCTCATATTCATATAAATGTTAATGAATCTAGAGACACATATATGTCTAGATTCATTAACATCTATATGAATGTGGGCAATGCTAGAAAGACTTACATTATGAAACGGAGGAAGTAGTACAGAACTTCCATTATAATTATATTTTCCATGTCCTTAACTTAACCTGCCCCTTTTGCCCTTAGAATCCATTTTTAACCAGATAATCTGTAATCCAGTGGCATAATTTATATCTGCTCCATCTTATTATCCACAGTAAGGCGTAGCATGAGCCAAGATAGTTATTAAGTTCAGCTTGAAAAGTTATCAGCCCCAGCTGGTCCACCTCCTTAACTCTAAAACAAACATGTGTCCTGGTTTGAAAAATATCTTTACTCGCAAATTATGAAGTACAAGTCTGAAATTCTAGTTTCTTGTTAAGTTTATTATTTGAACCAATTACTCACCCAGATGTCCCACTGCAAATGGTTCAGGGAACTTGCTCTATTCTGAAATTTCTTTCACAAAGTCCTGTACTCAGTGAGAAAAGAAAAATTGACAGCTTAATTTGCAGTCATCCAGGTAAGGGGTGTTTTTATTCGCGCAATACAAATACTGGTCACTGCTACAATTGTTCTTGCTAATTTCAGATAATTTTAGGTCCTGAAAGTTCTTCAGAACCGAATAAAGCTGAAGAACACAAGGCTGCGCAGTATGTTGATAGGAACAAGTTTAACACTGCTGGGAGTAACTCTGCCAGCAGTAGCACATGGATGTTCAACGTTGAAGATATCGATCCAGCCGTAGTGGAAGAACTGCCGCCGGAAATACAAAGAGAAATACATGGATGGATTCGCCCGCCAAAGCAATCAAGCTCAAAGACACGGGGTTCTACCATTTCGTCTTACTTCCAACCTGCAAAGAGGTCAGGATAGGTAGACCATGAGATGCATATTTCTAACATGTTGATTCGTCTCCTGGCATGACCTCTCCCCTGTAGATTGTAGGAGCATCAGCTTGATGCGCCAACAAATGGGCGTCAACTGAAAGACCAGCAAAATGCCAAAGTGTTCGCCCTTGTGAATAGTATTTGCATTGTAAATTTAATTGACAGTGGAACTAACAAATACTATTAGTACTAAAATTTATTTACGGTCCAGTATAACAACCGTACGACTATAAACCAAATTAGAACAGGAAGCTAAGGAAACTTAAGTTGATCTGACGGACTGACAGTAAGGACACTTTATTGATTAATTGAATTCAGAAGACATATTAAACTGTATTTCTTCGTGAACAATCATTACATAGCCTTGTTACTCACTACCTGTACTTATGAGCTTAGGCGGAACAGAACGAAAAAAATTATCTCCCTGTATAACGTATCTCCTCATAGTATTCCCAATCCCTGCCTGTTACAATAACGTATCTCCTCAGTGGCCTTAATCCCTACCTAACACCTGTTTATTCTATCCCTGTATAAATATTTTCAATTACAATTTCGAGCGGTTTAAATAAGATCTAAAACTTCGTTCCTGCAGCTATTCTCTGCAAGCGATTCCTATACTGCTGTAATTCAAGGAAAACAGATGCTGCCAGCGTTTTCGCTTGCTAATTAAACAATAACCTGAGCATATAACTTCTGAGATCATGCCAAGAGAGCAGAAGGCCATTTTATAACTTCGCGTGTTCAGAGAAAACTGGGAGGTCCAATGCATCCCTTGCAATGGCTTGATCTTCGTCAGTTATGGCCAATGCTTGTGATATATTTTCCTGCATAGAAAAAATACTGAAGCTGCTAAGTATGCTTGAACTTGCATACAAGATTTATAAGCTGTGGATATAAGCAGAACTGTAATAAGTTATGCTTACTGATAACTAACAGATTTCTACCTTGCATGCCATGGAATGTCCATATAACATAGTAAATAGCCAAATACATACATTATGAATGGTTCCATATGGTCTACGATTCTTTAATTCATGATTAGGTCTAGGAGAAAGTCATCACCGTGCTTTGGAGCTTCCGGATGTACCCAACTAACTGCAGCTTCAGGGGCTCCTCCGTTGTTATCTTACAACAGGAATCAAGGAAATATATGTGCTGCAAAAGGACAGTCGTAGGTATATTCTTATTCCCAATTCTTACATAGGGGCATACAAAAATGAACAAAGTTTTACTATGTGCTAATACTACTAGGAAAAGTTTAGTTTGAAATGTATAAAAGGTCTTGATTAAAAACAAGGAGGAACATTCGAACAATTGGCCTTGCAAACAAAAATCCTTTGAGACCCGGCAAATAAAAAACCTTTGAATAGCAAAGAAAAGGTAACTATGATGAGATCTTAAGACCACCTAAATCTAAGATACAAACCATCACTCTTTCAACTGTCCGCAGCGAAAAGTCCCATCCAATGCTTATCACCGACCTAGATACTCCGCCTGCTTCTGGCTTGGCCCAACCAAAGAAAATTCCTGATATTTGGTCAGGAACATATTCATAGGTACAATCACCTGTTTGCATATACATGCAGTAACCAGTAAGTAAAAACGTGTGTGCTTAGGGTACTTTAAAAACTACTATGTGATTGAGAAGTTCAGTTTTGATGGCTATTGACGCATTAGAAGAGTGATAGTAAGGTGTCTGACCTGCTATTACCATATGAAGACTCTTTGAAATTGCATGGCCTATCTGGGCATTCAAGAATAATTGTTCGATTGGTAAAGCACCCTGAATGCCTAAAATATGAATGCCCCACATCAGAATTAGACTAATGAAAATTAAATTGAATGCAGTGGACAGGGATTAATGGAGAAAGAGTTACGATCTTCAAAAGGAGGAAGACCCCACAACTCAGGATGAAAGTCCAGCAGTGAGTAGAGGATAGAATCAGCAATTGAGTAGTGCTGCCTTTGACTTTGGAGTGATGGGACAGCAACTACTTTTGCCCCAGAAGCCCTGGCACCCTGAACTCCGACGCTAGGAGAATTTTGCAACAAAAATATAAAGTGTAACTAAATAAAGTACTGATTATCTGTTATGCAATATCATCGGCAATTAGCAAATCAAGACAACCAACCACAGAAGAAGGCACATCTTTACATCCCATCCGTCATGTGTAAAATATAACTAATATGTTGAATTGCTAATTGCTAATTTTCATTGTCTATTAAATGAGCTCTAAAATGACACACAAAATAGGTAATTACAAATGCCATATAAATTAATAAAATTGGCAAGGGCTCTATTTATAAATTATTAATCATAGGCAAGACAATAACTTTGTTTCTTATTTGGTTCTGTTACATAGAATCTTTCATGTTTTATAGCTGCTCCGTTTGTTATTCATCCAACCACGAAATTGTCTACTGTTGGATCAGAACTATAAACAGTTTTGTTCTCGTGCAATAAACATAAACATGGTTTTCTATTAATGCAATGATACACAGCTCTCTTGTGTATTCGAGGAAAAAATGGGCAAAAAGGACTTGTCCGAAGCAGTGTTTAGTTCACTTACAGAGAATCTTCTATGACCAAACATGATGATGGATTTACACCAAGTCCTTTTGCGGCCTCCAGAAATCTAGGGGTACCAACAGATTACAGAATCAACAATAACATTGTATGAACAGAGCTAAAGATCTATCAAGTTGTGATTAACCATCGTAGATGCTTTAGAAGTGTAAATCGTAGGACTAATATATCAGATGTATAATGTATTGCAAACTTGCAGATTGTTTTGTTGGATGGAAGCAACACAGTGATTCTAAGGGCCACCCACATGTCAGGGGAAGGTTTTCCACGAGGGACCTGGTCTCCACCAAGAATCACAGAAAAACAGTCTTTCCAATCTGAAAAAAATAAAAAGAAAGCTTTTAATAAATGAGAAACCGACTGTTTTTACTACTTAGATGTAAAGGTTTACTTTCTTACCTGAACTAATATGAAAGAAAGATCAAACCAAGACCCCAAACATATAATATTACACCAAAAAATTCCCTTTGTAATGTATTGGAGGATTTTTGGTTCCTTTAGTTAAAAAAAAAACAATTGCTTGTTGTATTCCAAATGGTATTTATCGGATGTCTCCGAAGAGACCAAATGGTATTTATGGAACGAACAAAATACTATAAGGTGATTTCATGTGCCATACTACAGAACCTTTAAAAGGAAAAACTAGCCGCATGGTGTACTGTAGATTGAAGCAAACATACAAACCTTTTAATTTTAACAGTTTGTGATCGATGTTTCTCCTGACGGAATTTGAAGCAAGTGCTAGAGGCACTCCGTTCCTATGAAGATGCTTGACAAGCCTCTCGACTCCAGGGAGTGGCTTTGCCTTTTGCCACCTGAAGAACAGTGAAGCCAAGCTAAGCGCTTTTCTGAATTTGCGACGGTGGTCAGCACATGCTTAGCACACTAACATGAAACGAACCTTTTCAGGTACAACGGGTATATCGCCACAGCGTACTCTTCTACGGTGAGCGGTAGCCCATAATCGGCGATGATCCCGGTGGTGGACTCCCTGTACATCTGCCCCAACCTCCTCTCCTCCTTCTCCTTGTCCGGGACCTTCCCGTACGCCGCCAGGAACTCGTTCAGGACGTCCCTCGTTGCCCTCTCTGCACCAACAAAACAACATTGGGAACCCGGGGCGTCAAAGGCCGCAAACGATTCGCACGAAACAGGGGGGCCGCTGGGGGAATCGGACAGGACGGCGCGAGGGAGATCGATCGGGTCGGCGTACCTGTGTCGAGGAGCGTGCCGTCGAGGTCGAAGATCACGGCCGAGACCCTGGGCGTCGTTGCCGCCATGGGCAGCGGAGGCGAGGGAGGCGATCGCGGGGGCGCGGAGTAGTCTGTGGGCGGCGGGGGTGAGTCGGGGAGGGAGCGAGTGCGGCGCGTCGGATTTAAGGGCGGGAGGAGGAGCAAGGGGACGGGAATCGGAGGCCATTTGGCGAGCTTGTGGGTCGGTTGATTTGCGGGTGCACCCCCTGCGTCGCGCGGTTCCGTGCCGATTGGCGCGTGACGCGGCAGCGGCGCACGCGCGCTCTGGTCACCGCGCGCCCGCCGCGGCTGCTCGCTGCGATTGCCTGCCTGCCTGCCTCTGCGCGCGCGCGCGGTTGTTGCAGCCGAACCACCTGCGGGCGGCTACGCTAGCGGCATTCAGGTTTCCGAAACCACGAGTGCTACTCGACGATCTGAACTTCCTTTCCTTGCTGGATTCTGAATCGAACTCACCTGGGTCACGTGCCTAGTTCTGCCTTCAACAAAGCGTTGGAATTAACAAGCTCGAGCGTTTATAACAGTAGTAGTTCTAAAAAAAAACGTTGTCAGGTTCGGACCGGTAAGTTGACCCTGATGGCTCATAAGCTCACCGGCCGGTCATTAGACAGGCGGAATAAACTATTGCAACAAGGAATATTACACACATGTTGTGTCCCACTGTACCGCATCTTGCTTAACTTGATCGTGTAGTGGCGTGCTAAACGGAATAATGGCAAGCGGATTCATTCCGATGCAACGGCCAAATTGTTTTTGTCACTGCGCATTGTGACATTGTCCTAGTTTGGATTGTGGAGACGAACCTTTCTTTTTATCCAGATTAGGGAATTGTACGAATAATATTTTTCACCTTTTGTGATAAGGTCATATGCCACAAGCACAGCAACAAAATTGCTCCACGCATGTGCGATCGATGGTTCCAATCACATGACAGAGCAGCTCTGCGGGTTCTCGTCGCTGAAGTAATCCGTGGCCCTGGTGCCGACGACGGCGGAGTTGGCGCCATGGTGGTAGTAGCCGCCGTAGAGGCGCGAGTCGTCGTAGCCATGCTTGTAGTAGTTGTACGAGGACGTCGGGCGCGCTGCGTGTGCCGCGTGCGCCTGCACCCCCGCGCCGGGGTGGTACTGGTGGTAGTTCTGCTGCTGCGCGAGCACGTGCACGGTGCCGCCCGCGACGACGCCGCCGCCGGTGTACGGGTGCGGCCACAGCACGGCACGCCTCCCCGTCCTCCGCACCGCCTTGAGCACCTTCTTCTGCTCCACGTTCCCGTTCACCGTCACCTTCTGCCTCTCCATGTCGATCTCCACGTCATCGACTCCTGAAATCGATCAACCAACATTCATATCAGAGATCGAGCACAGTAGTAGTACAGTACTGTGTACTTAGTCGGGCAACTCAGTTCGATTACGTACCTTCCATTCTTTGGATTGCTTTCCTTATCTTCTTCTCACACCCGGCGCAGTCCATATGCACGCTCATCTCCACGATCTTTCCATGATAGATTGACACGGCGTCAGAGATCAGAAAATAAACCCAAAAAGAATGTACAGAGATAATCAGATGAAAAATGCATGAAAGGGGAAATCAACTTACCGTCATATTCCTTCGCTAGTTTTATGCTTCCTCTTTTTGCTCTTTCTGAAGATCAACTACTAAGTCTCGATCGATCACTATGGGATTCTTTCTTCAATCCTCTAGCTAGCTAGTGTATCGCCCCTATATATACATGACGCGATACTTTGCCATGGCCATGTGATGCAGCAACGACTACCCTGTCCGGAAAGCAAGGGAAGGGCGGTTCAACCGCCAGGGGTCGGCGTGAAGGAGAATCAGTTGACGAACTTATTTTACGCTAAACTGCACGACTACGTCCTTCCCCACATATTCCCCGCGCGGCCTTGTCCCCGTCAGCGTCAGCGCGTTTCGTCGGAGCGAAGCGCGGGCGCGGGGCGGCGGGGACGGAGGGGTGAGACGAGCCGTTGCGCGCGTGGTCTGCGACGTCGTCCAGCTCACTGGAGCGGCAACCGCAAGCGCACGGTGCGTTCACGCACGCGGGTGCTGCTGCTGCAGCTGCACGTCTCGGATCTGCCTACACGCGGGGGAGTACGGTGGCTGGCGCCGCCCGCGCTGGATCCTGTCCCCCTTGCTAAATACTCTCGCTGCATATATGATCCAACCAATGCCCAGACAGGCAGACAGCCCATCGGGCGATGGCGCGTTGACAAAGTGAAAGGTCAGAACTCAGAGGGTTCAGAAGGAGCATTTGGGATAAGTAACTATGGGCTGGGCTGCAAGCAAGCACGGGCCAAGACGCCAAGTAGACTTGTACTCCTATGTGGAGATCACCAGCCCTTTGTCTTTTCCTGGTCTGGATACTTCACGTGAATCAACAAGTTTGGGCCGTGGACAGTGTGAAGGAACTTAGAGCCGGTTTGGCAACGCTCCATCTAAAAAGGGAGTGGAGTAGACACAGATACAAACTAAAAGAGTGGAGCGGGGTTCGGGTCATCTCATATCACCACTCTGGATTACACCCCTAGAGTTAGATTTATTAGTTAGGGCCTTATCAAACAGTCTCTTACAGTTTCAGAGATTGTACTAACAAAATTTCATCGCGAGCAAAATAGTGTCAGTCATGCTTTAGCTAGTAGAGGTCGTCGAGAGTCTTTAACGGCATTTTGGCCAGATGATTCTTGTAATTTCATTTCGCTCCTTGTCTGTAACGACTCTATAGATGAGTAATTCATCTCTTTCCCTGAAAAAAAAGTCTCTTACAGTTTCTGTTTTTCGACTCCATTGTTTTACCCCAACCATTTTTTATGGGACTTTCTATAGGGCATTTAACACTTTTTCGTGGCCAAAACACTCGAATTTTTCATCCACGGGATCCGACATTAACTATCATGGTTAAGTGGCTAACGAGCCTATCCGTGAAGTGGGAACCAACATCCCACCATCGGCTGCTCGAGGCCTCCAGTGACACATCATCACGGCCGGACGACCCAAGTAATCGACAATATACCGCAATGCAACATTTGTGAGGTTGTGATACACCCGAAAGGAGGCAGGTTGGAAGCCTGGGTTGTCGTGAACAGGGTTAAGCTCGGGGTCTCTCCTCAGGTTGTTGCAAGCTGGGATCCGAGCTTGGGGCTTGTTCATCCCTTGCCCCTAAGTTCGGCGTCTTGTGCTGCTCGGAGACATCAACAACGTGTTAATGGCAATGAGACACGGCGCGCTGTTGTGCTCTTATGTATGCAAGCTTTGCATTAAATACGATGAAAAAATTATCCACTCATGTGCGACTGGAACGACAGAATGGTTCCTGCACAGCCATCCCACACACCATCATCACCCCTATGGGGATGGGGCGTGAGTTGTCAGGCTACATGGTTGACTAACATGCCCCCCGATAGGTCCCACCACCTTTCTCTACATCTCTCCACCTGATGTTGCCAAACGGTCCCCTTCATCGGCCTTCAGGGTTCCAGCCTTCTTCTATCCCAAGCTTTCTCCAACCGCGCGAGACGTATGATAGATCAACACGGCCTCTTCGCAAGCTTGGACCCATGGAGGCTCATAAGGGGCCAACGTTTGGGTCCATTTGTCTACAAGTGGCAAGACTTCGCAACGTCATTGTAAGTTAGACAATGAATGAAAGATCAAAGAAAGAACGCTGTAGGAGTAGGGTATTGTGCTCTACGCCATCTGCACCTATATAACCGATTAAGTCTCATTTACTACCGCAACATATCCTGTCCTGCACTCCTGCTCCCTGGGCCAAAATCACGAGAGGAGGGAGGGGGTTCCATCCCAACCTGCTACACGAATATTGGAGTGAATCAGAAGGCCCAAAAATTATCTCCAGATATTGAGCTGTAACTTTTAACAGATCATATGGCCAACGAGCTGGCTCATTAGTGTTTTCTATCTATTCTGTACTCCCATGACAATATATAATGATGTATGTTAATAGAAAAGGAGTTGAGTATTGGGATGCTTCCTTCTTGTTGCTAGCGAGGGACACTTACTTCTACCACCCGATTTTTAGCAAAATTTTACAAAGCTTCAAAATAATTAGACTAATACGTACTCCCTCCGTCAGAAAAAACGCTAGCTAACTTCTGACTATAAACCTAGACATAGTCTACATCCAGATTCTTAGCTAGAAGTTGATTTTTTATGGGATGAAGGGAGTATATATCTTTTAACTTCCTATTTAACTACAATTTTATTTTGTTTACCTTAAGTTTTAATAGTGGAATTTGATTTGCTATATAAATTATAGCTTATGTTTCCATAGATACAGTTGTATTTTATATATAATATATTATGACAGTGTAACTAAATTTGATATGTAATTATTAACTTAGAAACCTTACTATTAATTTAGATTATCCAAGTAGAATTAAGAAGGCACGTATGGATACGATCCGAGTAAACCTCATTGGACCTGAATAGGACTATGTTTCTATTTTCTTATCTGAGACTCTTTTCTTATCTACTCAAGACTATTGTCATATGTATGAGGCTTCATTCCGTGTAAGATCTGATATATAGTAGGTTATGTCGAGGTTAGTACACAAGTATTGGGTATCAAATATTTAGAACACTAACAACACACTCACAAAATATGCTTATCGTCGCAAAATAAGTCCATTTTTCAATCATCTAACACATCTCTACTATTATAAAAATTAAAGATGTTTTCCGTCAAAATTTTGGTACGTCATCCGTATTTGAGTCAGATTTTCAATGCTTGTATCCAATTCGACATGAGTTAGAATAACTATTATATATACCCCTTCCTAGCCCAACCCTCCGCATCCTAGCCCAACCGAACCGCCCCACACCATCCCGCCGCCTCGTCCCGCGTGCCCCTCCCCCGATCGATGTCTTTTTTTTCTCTCTTTTTTGTTTTCTTTTTCTTCTTTTCTTTCTCTCAATAATTTGAATAATCAAAATTTTAATATTTGGTCGACAATGTATAGCAAAAAAAACCCATGCGTCAACTTATAGAATAGTCACCAAATCGATAGGATTTTTCGTGTGATGACGCATGAAACGAGCGCAACCAGGTTCAATGCTATATATGATTTTGACTTTGTTTTGCCATTATTCTATTTGTCTTGTTTCGGTTTGTCATCTAAATTGACAGAATTTTTATCAATCGCGAAAATTATTTTCACCTGTTGCATCACACAGTCTTTTTTCTATTATCAGTAAAAATAAAAGGATTAGAATACCATCGCTCTTATACGGAGGGTGTAGAAGCAGATGGACTTGGTGCCTCAGATATTTCGACAGCTGTTTTGCTCCTTTTTGACAAGTGGCTGCTAGTACCGCTATTTACGCTTTACAGCTTTTAGATGTCAGATGTCCGATCCCAACACAGTTATTAGAGCAAGTACAATAGCATGCTACAAGTCAGTTGTAAGCACAAGAGAAGAAAAGAGAAGAGAGAAGGAAAGCGGGCTACAGATTTGTAGCTAGCTGGAATACTCATTACAATACGTTATATGTGTATGAGAGGTGGGATCATATATTAATAATGTAGCACATGCTTATAGATAACTATTGTATGAATGAGCTATTAAATTGGCTATAGATGAATTGGAGCCATTAGTTGGCTATACTATTAAACTTGCTCTTACTGCCTCCCTCTAAACATTTCAATGTGCAACTACAAGTACTCCATTCGTAGAAAAAAAATAAACCAACAAAAAATTGGATGGAACATTTTCTGGTAAACTAAATCTGGATAAATTCTCATAAATTGGTTTATTTGAGAAGGAGGGAGTACTCGCCACGCAAATGTGTTTGGCTTGCTGAACATAGATGTATACGTTAAAACAGTTTATTAGGAAATAAAAAAATAATTTATAAGTAAAACTTTTGTATACTCCCTCCGTTTCAAAAAAAGTCAATCTCGTACTAGGATGTGACAATAATTCTGGACATACTCTATGTATAAATTCATTGTATTAGAAGGTGTCCTATCCTAGTACGAGATTGGTTTTTTTAGACGGAAGAGTATGTATTTAGAACCTTAGAAGTCAATATAAAAAAATTAATTGGATCCATACCATTGTAAATTTGCCTATTAAAAAAATAACATTATAATTCGTATATTCGTAGTCGTGCCATTGGAATTTTACAAAATTAGAACCGTGTCACCGCCACGTTTTCCATCCATCTCCTTCCTTTTCCGTCTTCTTTCTTCTTTCTCCCATCTTCTTCCCGAAGTCAAGCCAGCGAACCAGTCCTCGGAATCCTTGGAGCTTGGAGGAGGAAAGCGAGCGAGCTCACTGGCGAGGTGAACAAACTCAACCATGGCAGGCGACGGCGGCGAGGGGAAGGTGGCGTGCGTGGCGTGGATCCAGCGCTGGGAGGAGAAGGCGACACGGGTCTTCGCGGCGTACGGGCAGGCGGGGTCAAGAGGCAGGGTGGCGGCGGCGCATGCCGTGGGGGGTGCTCGGTTTCGACTCCAATGAGTGCTCCCTCTCCGAACCCCTTGTATGAGAGCTCCCTCTTCTCCTCCGAGCTCCAAGGATTGGCGACGCAGCATGCGACGTGATGAGCTTTCAGGACCTGCTCCGCGACATGGAGGCCGACGTGCTGCAGTCGGCGCCGCCGCCGGCGCAAGAGGTGGTGCAGGGTGTCTTGCAAGACCTGCTCTGCAACATGGAGGCCAGCGTGTCTTCCAGGACCCCCCCTGCACATGACACGTCCTGTCAGGTGAGCAGAATAGGATAACCTTTCAAGAACAAGAGTGGCGGTGACGGCTACTTCTCCTTTGACGACGGCTCGTGATGCGCGCTTTGTCCCCGCGCCTCCTCAGCCTTCTCTGCGCCACACCGCCGTGCGTCATCTCCTTGCTGCCACGTGGACTCGCTCCTCTCGCCTTTCCTCGCCGTCGCCAAGCCGGCGAGCGCGCACAACATGCCCTCCGTCTTGTCCGCCGCGAAGCCCTTTGCTTTTGCAGATGCGCCGCCGCTGCTAGGCCCGGTGATCTTGTCGCGGACAGCACCGAGGAAGGACTGCATGCTCTCCTGCACGGTGGCCAGCATGTCGCCACCGCGCCGGGCTCCTGATTCAGACGAGTCGGTGGCCTCCTGCTCCAAGCTGGCCATGGACTTCGAGGTCATCGTGAACGAGTAACAGAAGATTGATCGACACATCGCGGCAAGAAACCACCGCATTCTGAGGATTGCTTCACTAGCTTGACTCCGGAAGAAGATGAGAGAAAGAAGGAAGAATACGGAAAATGAAGGCGATAGACGGAAAATGCAACGACAGTGTAACGGTTCTAATTTTGTAAAATTTTAGTGGTACGGCTACGAATATAAGAATTGCAATGACATTTTTTGAATAGACAAATTTATAATGGCGTAGATCCAATTAAACCATTAAAAAACTACGCTAAAAACATCTTAAAATTAACTTCCAAAATTAAGTTTAAAAAATTTTAACTTTGGCTTTGATTTGATTTATTAGGCCAACCGATAGAGTACTTAATGTGTCGCCGTTATCTGGATATTTCTAGCTAGTTTACTGTATAAACTGAGAAGAATACTCATACAATTCTACCTTCAAACCTAAGCTTGATTTGGCCAAACAATAATTATCGTGTGAAAAGATGATCGCTTCCTTGTCATATTGACAGTGGCACCTTTGACAGTTTCAAGCTAATGGACAAATGAGAATGGAAAAGTTGAAGCTGTTCGTGTATACATGGATCAAAGTATTCATATGTGCTGGGGTATCTTTTCGAAGAAATGTACCGGGTTATCTTTTTCAGCTTTAGTCCATGTTTTTGTCCTTTTTCTTTTCAGAAAAGCTGGAATACTCCCGGTTGAAGAAAAGCAAAACTTTCTGGGCCATTTATATCTTCTCGTACAAAAGTCAAAATCACGTTCCAACAGAAGGTACCGGGTTGGTACTGTTCACAACTGATACTGTAGCTTGTAGTAGCAATCACTGCAGTCTTGCTTAATTACCATTGAGCAGTGAGCAGTACACATCGTAATATTTAGTACGTGCAACGGTAGGTTTCACTCTTTGAATGAACTGCCAGTTTAGTAGTTCCACATTACATCATGCTTAATTATTGCGAAGGAACACAATCAAGTGGTACTATTTATCTAGAGTGGTATGTTTGGATCTATGAGCTAATTCAAGGCTAAAAGGTGAAGAGAGAGTAGAGAGAGAGGGAGAGATATGTGCTTTTTTATGGTCCCCACACAAAATTAGCCCCATTCGCACCTTTTATGTTTTTGAGAGATGGGCTAAAGTTTAGCCCCTCTCTCCCAAACACCCCCTTGGAGGGGCTAATATTTTGAGGGGGGCTAATTCACTTTAGCCTCAAATTAGCCCACATATTTAGATCCTTGAGGGCTAATTCAGAGCTAAAAGGTGGGGGCTAATAATTAGCCCATGGAAACAAACATAGCCTAAACATTAGCTCTCAAAATTAGCCCTGAGCTAGGCCCTGTTTGGTTCCATGGGCTAATGTTTAGCCCTCATATTTTAGCCTCAAATTAGCCCTCAAGGATCCAAACAGGTGGGCTAATTTTGAGCTAATGTGAATTAGCCCCACTCAAAACATTAGCCCCTCCAAGGGGTGCTAATGGGGCTAATTTTGTGTGGGGACCATCAAAAAGCAGCTCTCTCTCTTCTCTTTCTACTCTCTCTCCACCTTTTAGCCTTAAATTAGCCCATGGATCTAAACATACCACCCTAGGCTAATGTTTATCCTACCAATTCATGACTAAACATTAGCTCTCAAAATTAGCTCTGGGCTAATCTTCCAAACAGGGCCATAATCTTCCAAACATGGCCTTACTTGACATGTATCCCGGGTGTTGTCAAAACACCATTAGCTCAGCACAACAATAGCTCCTCTGATGCCTACATGTATCCGTTTTTCTGGGGCTCTCTCTAATAGCTGCCTTAATTGCAGATGAACGCAACCCCCTGCATGGCCCGTTCTCGCATTGATTAACAAATAATGACCCATTAGTTCCTCGTAGCAGCATCAGATCAGGTCCATATCCAAGTTAACGACCAGAGCGCAGCAAGCCGGCCAAATCCTCCATCCGGATCGATCGGTCACGTACCCATCCATCATTCGTTTCCATCCACCGACGTGTGGTTCCAAAACCGGCGCGGCATGTACGTATTCCGTAACATGTGTGGCTACGCGATCCGCAGGTCGTTTTTAGACGCGGCGCGCACGGTGTGGGTTGTTCGGTTGTTCCGGTCCTTTTTGCGTTATCGTTGCCGAGAAAACGAAGGCGGTGAAAGGACACATGTAAGCCGCCGTGAGGTTTACCACTTTACCGGCGAAAGCGACCGAATCGGCAGTTCGACATGAGGAGAACGTATACCAAGCTAGCAGTAGTCGAGTAGAGATAGCTAGTACCACACCAGTAGTAGTAGTACTCTATCCACACGGTAAGTTTACCGTCAGTTTCGCCTACTTTTGTTGCAGATTCCTTTACCGGGGGCCGGGGGACGAAACTGCACGTCGTGGCGGCCGGTGCACTTTTGGGCGGGCGGGATAGCGTTAGCTTTCTCCGGCCGGCGCTGACGTTACAACGTGACACCTATTTGCTGCAGATAAGCACTCCGTATCGGTACGGGCGACTTGGACCATGCATCAGCTCCCTCTTTGGTACGTGCAGTGGGAGAAAGAGAGTTGCATTCGGAAGCTACACCTGCTGGTACTACAAGCTCGACGTGTCGCATTGGCGCCATAGGCCACTTGCACGGCCGCAGCCACGGGCACATCACGGCTTAACTCCGTTTTAAAGATGAAGCACATCAACGGTTTAATTAGCCGCTCTGATGAAATGGAAAGCCAGAAGTTAGCTAGGTATACACACGTCACCCAGCAGTGGACCTGTGGCTGTGGCCTGTAGGGATGACCTCGACTCCGGCCCAGCAGCGAAAAGGTCCCGGCGCCGCAGTCCGTCCGTCCGTCCGTCCCAACTCCCAAGTCCCAACCATGCGAGCGAGCGAGCAGTGAAATCTGCGCAAAAGGGCAGTGAAATCTGCGCAAAAGGCCAGCGGCGCTTTCGTGCGCGCCTACATAAAGTAACTTTGCGAGTATTAAAGCCGGGGGGAGGAAAGAAGGGGAAAGAAAGAAGACTGTTCAAAAGGATCCCCGGGGCTTGACCCTGACAAGTTGACGGTTGGAATATTTATCTCCTGGCCCTTTTGGAAAAGCTTCCATTATGGCTCTTTTGCTGTGCATTGATGGCCAGTAAGTCACCAGTCAGGTGCCTGTCCCCATGCCGTCCAGCTCTCTCTTGGTGTTGCGAGAGAAACTTCCCAAAAGGAAGTGGTGAAAAAGTGCCACGAAGGTTTACCGAAACGTGAGTGTAGGAACACCCACTTTTGGGCCATCCATCCACTGTGCAGTCAAAGCCGAGAAAGATTAAAAAAAACGGAAATGAGCACGGTAATTATAAATCCGCCACCAACTTGGCATGCAGCATGCTCCATCAATCAAAGATTAAAAATCCTTTGCATGAACAAGCAAGCAACCAAGCAAAAGGATATAACAACAGCAAAGAAAACCAAGTCCTGGTGCTTATTTGACCTCAGCAGCAGAGAAAGTAAAATCTTATCCGTGGCGTTTACTGAGCAGGCTCTACCTACTCTACATGCCAAGAAAGTGCAACTAGGCTCTGCAGTGCACACGGTGTACCACCAGAAGAACAAATTCAGCGATAAGCAAATTAGCGTTGGATCGATCGATCGATCGATCTCATGCCACCAGTTCCCAGAAAAGAAGAGGACACAAAACTCTCGCGCGGTGACTTGCGAGATCCGAATAAGGACAGGCATGGGGCCGCGTCGCATTCCGCCAAGCCGAGAAAGCGTATGGCAGCGCGCATAGCATAGTGACACACGTTGGACGGACAGATTTTCCACGGAGTTCGCAACTTGCCTCCGCAACCTCATCACTTCCATTCTTACATTACACCCGCAACCTTAGAAAACAACAAAAGGAGAAAGAGGAAGAAACAAACTACTAGCAGGATAGTAGTAGTAAGGAGAGAGAAGCTGCATGCTATGATGGTGGTACTAGCAAGAGGAGAAAAGAAAAAAAAGAAAGAAAAGCCCATTCGATATCTCCATCTACCATGTGTTTGTGTAAGCCTCACGTACAAGCAAGCCAAGCTAGCCTCCGCAACCCAGCTGCAGCAAGTCAAAGGGAAGCTATATCCAAGCCGGTTGGTTCGACTGGATGCATGGCGGGATCAAAACGGGCGGTCCGGGGTGACCGGCCACCGGTCGGTGTAGACCGGCGACGGGGAGGTTGGGGAGGACGGGTTGGGGAAGCCGAGGACGAAGCCGGCGGCCGCGCGGTGGTGGTGGTTATGGTGGGCGACCGCGAGGGGGCCCAGGGGACGGTTCTTGCGGCGGCCGGCGCCGACGGGGACGTTGCGGAGCGCGCCGCCGGCCGTCCAGTAGCGGTGGCAGGCCTTGCAGAAGTGGCGCGGCTGGTTGACGTTGTAGTTGTTGAAGTAGCAGAACTTGGTGTCACGGCTCCGGCACCGCGGGCACGGCAGCGGCGCCGCGGCGGCCGCACGCGCCTCGGCCGAGTCCTGCAACCGCCGCTGCGTCGGCTGCCCCGCCGCGTCCCCGCCCCCTTGCCGTTGCTCCTCGTCGCGGTCCGCGGCCTCCCGCTTGATCGACGCGCGCTGCCCCGACGTAGCAGCAGCCGGGACACGCTGCTCCTCCTCCTCCTCCTCCTCCGGTTCAACCTTCTCCCGGGCCACGACGAAGCCCTGCGCCTTGTCCTGTGTCCCCTCGGAAACGCCGCACTGCATGATGACCTTGCCGAACAGCTTGAACCCGCCGGCCGCCGGGGCCATCTCGACGTGGGACAGCATCCGAACGCGCCCTGCCTGCGGACCAAGAACCGGAGCGGGCAAGAGAAAGGAGAGGAAGGTAGGCAAGCAGACGACGAGAGAGGCAGCAGGCAGGCAGGGGGAATGAACGAGGGGGAGCGAGGGCCGGGGTCGCTGCTACTTAAATGCCATCAAGCCGAGGAGTAGCGAGACCGGAGAGGAGAATGGGTTTGGGGCGCAGCAGAAAAAGCGCAAAGAAAACGTTACGCGCACAGCTAGCACAGTGCCCGCGGATGAATATTTCGTCGAGTTCGTTTCGTCCCGCGGGGGGGGGGGGGGGGGGGGGCGTACTTTACACCGGTGTGATGCGAAAGCGGGGGCGAGACCGGTGAGTTCGCGGATGGATGGATGGATGGATGGATGATTTGGTTTGCATGTGGGGGATTGTGATTCGAGGGGAATCTCCGGGTTATATAAAGCGAGCTCCAGCTGCTCGCCGATGGTGCGTCGCGGACTCGCGGGTCGTGTGCGCGCGCGGGGCGGCGGGAGAGGCTTTGGGGTGGTGGACCTGGTAACTTCTGTTGCGGAAAAGCGAAGGGATGGGCGCGCCCTCCGATTCGGGTGTGTGGCTGGCGACTGCCTGCCTCGATCTTCTACGCCATGGATGTGTGTATTCCGCGGCTTTACGCTTTGTGCTACATCCAAGGTGGTGTTGCACAGTTGCTGTGGTATCTACGCGGCAACTGCATGTTAAAAATGATTGCACTGGAGAGATAGATAACACTGTTACAGGTACCCTCCATTCCATATTATAAATTGCTTAACTTTTTTCGAGCCAAACTTCTTTATGTTTATCTGAGTTTATATAAAAAATAATAACATTTATAACACCAAACTAGTTTCATTAAATACAACTTTAAATATGTTTCGTTAATGTATTTATATTGTGTTAACGTATTATTATATTTTCCTATAAACCTAATCAAACTTAGAAAAGTTTGACTATAAAAAAAATCGAAACGACTTAGTGTGAAATGGAAGGAGTAGGAGTCTGAGGAACACAACTAAATCCACATGTGACCATTGTACTTTTTTGAACTATCATTCGCACATGCTATTGGGAAAAAAAAATCATTCACACCTACTATTGAGAAAATACACAGTATACCATTTGGGTCATGTGTTTTAGTATCATTTTTCTCTTTGAGGTATTTGCTAGGTATCCAATCATGTGACTAAAATTAGAAAAAAAAATAACTATCTAGGCTTAGCTGTTATTAGGGCATCATCTTCAAGGTCTGGACGAGGGGGGAGGAGGAGAGATGCTGAGATCATAAGCATCACCACCTTCCAAAGTCAGCGAGCTCTTTCTCTCCGACACAATTGATGATTGCCAACGATTTCTCGAAACAAAACCTAAATTAGGGTTTTGAGTTAGAGATTGGATCGGACGTGAACATGAGGGACGATGTGGGTGACAGCCATAGGCGGCAAATAAGTGTCGGAGCCGCTAGAATGACTGAGATTAGAAGTGTGGCATGGAATTTAGTGTGAAGCCAGGACGTAGGAGGGCCTACTTGGCAAGGACTTAAAAAAATAAGGCACTCTTTAGATCTCACCTCAAAATTTTTCACCTTATCACATCGAACGTTTGAACACCTGCATGAAGTGCTAAAAAAATATAGGCTAAAAAATAATTAATTACACATACTGCGACTAATTTGTGAGACGAATCTTTTAAGGCACCTAATTGCTCCATAATTTGACAATGTGATGATACAATAAATATTTGCTAATGACTGTTTAATTAGACTTAATAAATTCATCTCGCGGTTTACTAATGGATTCTGTAATTAGTTTTTTTATTAGTGTCTGAACCAGAATTTCACCTGCGACACCCTATATAATACCCGATGTGACACGCAAAACTTTACACCCTAGATCTAAGCACCCCTAACTAGAAATAGGAGTTACTTTCAAAATGGCAGTCTAACCGAACCAGAATTTCAAGCACATGACTGCTCTAACACATCCACTAATGCACATGCCCTTTAAGGTAAGAAACGATGTTCCTTTCGACCAACAAAAGAACGGAGTGCTACTTACATGCTGATGCTGGCAGCCAACTAGTATAGCAAATGTGTGTAGGGTATTGAATAAGTACATTGCATACGTGCACACAGGAAACATGTACTCGGAGATTCTAAATAATGCAAGTTTCTACCTATTCATAAACGGCTGCCCACTCTTATGTAGTACTGCTTGCATAGTGTTGCTGTTGAATGAAAAAAAAAAGGGAATTCTAAACTGTCTCCTATACTTTCCTACTACATTTGTTGATTTTTATAGGGCATATATTTTATTTTGAAAAAAGCATTCATAATTACAACTTGACCATTCCCTGATTATAAAACAAACATTTTTAAAAGCGCCTTTAAAATATAAATCTACGTATATGATTTCTATACACTAAATTTCTAATCGGACTAACTTTGATAAATAAAATAAAGTTTGACTACCTTTTATAATCAAAATACTACTACTCCGTACTCCCTCCGTACTCCCTCCGTACTCGTAAAGGAAGTCGTTTTGGACAGCGACACGGTCTCCAAAACACAACTTTGACTTCTTGTTTCTATAAAAATATTTATTAAAAAGTGACATATGTATACTTTTTATGAAAGTATTTTTTAAGACAAATCTATTCATATAATTTTTATATTTTTAAACTCAACAACTTGAGAGTTATTCAAATATTGTCCTAAACGGCTTTCTTTATGAGTACGGAGGGAGTACATCTTATGAAAAAAACCAAGAAAATACTATTTAAGTGAAATTTTGCTGATTTATGACCAGATAAAGTGAATTGCCAATAGTGTTTTTTTTTCAAATAAGAAAAGAGAGCGGCCGATGGATAGCTGTTTGCTCTCTTTTAACAAAGACTTTTTCGGACTGCTCTGATCTTCCAGTGATCATGCAAAAGGCAGCCAGTGATGATACACAAATCTACAGAGAAAACCATGCAGAAAAGGCATCGAAAAAGGTGCTTTAGAGAAAGTCTTGTTCTGGAAAAAAAAGGACCTGTAAAAGTCTAAACTAAATGGCAACTTCAAAAGGCTACGCATCGGCTCTTTTTAGCTCGAAAGGTAGAAGGAGCATAGATTCTCTACACTTCTACAGCAGGCACCACACATGGTTACCTCTCCTATTTGGTAACGGCAACAGCCAATCTAGGTACGTGCAGCCCTTTCTTTACTGAACTTCTTCCCTAGTAATTCCTTTGTTTCATAATATAAGTCATTCTAGCTTTCTCACATTCGTATTGATGTTAATGAATCTAGATAAATATATATATCTAGATTTATAAACATTAATATAAATATGAAAAATGTTAAAATGACTTATATTGTGAAACTGAGAGAGTAAATCATCAGCATATTATGTCAGTTCTATTGAGATAACAGATAATTACAAGTTCTCGCAGTGCTAAATCATTTTTTCCACTCCTTTCATAAAATAGAATCCAATTCTAAATATAAATATAAATATAGTATATTCTCAAGATTAGAATTTTTATGAATAGAGGGAGTACAATATAGTAGGAGTAGCATACTTCCATTTCCCCCGCATACTAGCTACTACTAGTAGCACATTCATTTATCTATTCGGAACTGTTCATAGAATTATGTATACTTTTCTATAGAATTATTGTTGAGAGATCATATCACCGTGTCACAGATTAAAATACTTTTCGAAATAACCATGTATACTTCAGTATTTTGAATGTGCCAGTATGATCTGTACTGGGAAGTGCAGGTAGTCGGCGGAATGCGGCAACACATGTACTCTATCACAGGATTGGTGGCCATCCTGTCCAAGAGATGATCCTGAACAGTACTCGTACGCGTTTGGCCCGGAATAAAAAAGCCGCACCATGCCGGAGAAAAGCAGGGTATGGCTGTTTGCTTGCTCAGGAAATCCGAGCTGACGTCGATTACCAACAACTAATCCGCTGGTAAATAATCTTGGTTAGAATAAAGCAAAAGAGCAAGCACAACGGTGGGCTTTTCTTTTCTCCTTTTTCCTTTCCCTTTTTCTTTTCTAGGGTTCGTCGATCCCACTTCCAAGCATACGCCGTTATTTTACACAAAAGTCCATGGATTCCCATCCAACCTTGATCTTCTTTAAGCCTTTGGGAACGAGCTCAATGTGGGTGCATGTTCAGTTTGGGGATTAATGTCTAGAACTGTTAAAGCTCTACTCCATGTACGGGCACCAGAGAAGCTCTACTCCATCTACTTCATGAATGAATTAACAGATATTTGTGCTCTCAATCTTCCTTATTAAAAGAAGTAAAAGACTATTAAAGATTATATGATGATATCTTTTCTGAAAATATAATTAAAATATGAAGCACAATGTATCCCTGAAAATATTGTTGTTAAATGCGATGTACTAGCATCATTCTTGCAAAGTTCTCAAGACATCATTCTGTTGAAATTTGGTTTCCTCCATAACCTAAGACTAATTCCATTTTCCCGGCCAAGTCTCTTGGCCAGAAGTGTCAACGGCGAGCCTGACTTGTTTAGTAAGAAACCAACCTACTAAAAAGAAATACAAAAGGCACCTTCCATGCTTTCCAATCAACTGATTACTTTTGGGGTCATAAAACAATCCAAAACAAGAATCTATCCCTTTCTTTATCCCTGAAAGAGATACGCTTTTAGTGCATTTGTACCTTTCTTTTCCCGTATAATAGAGTAGTACTAGTTGCTTTTGATGAGGACAAAAGTAGGAATTGCTTAGGTTGGAAAAGCCAAACCATGCTGCTCTTTCTTGCTACTAATCCAAAAGCGATGCTTTGCAGTTTTGCACTTCGATTAAAATATGCGCGCGTCACATTCGCTTCCAATTTTTTCTCAGCACTGGACTGGACAGATTGTATCTAGATGGATCAAAATCACACACGGTACATGACTTCTGAGCACGATTGGGTATGAGCTTTTAACAAACCCTTATCGTGTTATGAGCTCATGATACGCGAGCACCGTTGAATCACCGTGGTTCACTGTGGTGTACAGACTACAGTGGTGTATGTCGTCCTTATGAATTGAGATAAGAAGGGGGAAAAAAAAGAACACGTGAAAGAACACCAATCAGTACGCAGCCGTATCAATGCAGCATGTGGCCTTTCAGAAAGATTTTGTTTCTTTAACCTTTCCAATCATGATGGGCCGGCCCAGAGGCCCATTGCCGCCAGTGGAGGACAAAAGATCAGCATGCTGCATTGCTGCCGTGCAATTCATTCCACGGCTATGAAAATGATCACCATTTTTTAGCTGGTCGCAAGAGCTGCTACTGCTAGTGTATCGGCCGGGAGGTCAATTCCAGGCCGCGAAAACTACTCGTATTCGTATCACCAATCTCTAGCGCCGAGCTCGAATCCACGGCTGAACCATCTCGTTCTTCTCCCGTTGGGGGGGGGGGGGGGGGGGGGCGGTGGTGAGCAGAAACAAGCAAGTTGGTATGAATCAACAGGGCCATAACTTGAATGTGGCCGTACGTCGTCCTGCCTCGGCACTGGTTACTCCCTCGCTCGCACACTATTCCCTCCGATGCTCGGCGGGGGGGCAAGAGAACGTGGGTCGCGTCGCGCGCCGGGCAATAAAACCGATCGGGGTGTGTGTGATCTGATGATCTCTCTCCCTCGCGCATCGCGGGAGGATTGATTGGTGGTTGCCGGCGATGCGTGGGAGACGCGGGCGCCAGTCCGGTCCGGTCCCCTCCCCCCTCCCGCGCTCTCACGGATCAGCCTCAGCGGGGGACGCACATGCACGGTGTCGGTCAGCATCCGGTCGCGTCCCTCGCCGCGCGCGCGCATAGGCAGGCCAGGGTCGGCAGCCCGCCCCGTCTGGCTAAGCTGCTGGGTCCTCCTCGCCTGTGCGTGCCACGCTCTCGCGGCGTGGCGGACCACGCATCGCTAGGCGTGGCCTGCCGCCGTGAGACGGCCATCAATTCGGGGGGGGGGGGGGGGGGGGGGGGGCGCCTGCCAACACCGGGGCAGCTGCAGGCGAGGCGCGGCAGGGCAGTACGTGCGTGAGAGTGGATGATTGAATGGTCCTCGACTGAGAGGGGTTTGTTCATCAAGAAGACAACAACTACTGTACTACCGTTGTTGGGTCAACTACGATGATCGATGTTCCTCGCATTTGGCATTGATGGCTGGCTGGGATCATGAGCTCCGTCGCACCCGGAAGCATAGGAATGCGTGCATCCATCCGCACCTACTGACCTACCATCGGATCCAACGAGCTGCCTATACGCAGCAAATTAACTAATCTAGGGCGATCTTTGTGGATAGCAAAAAAATGGAAAAGTGCACCGAAATTATAAGTGCTAGTAGTACCGGTGAACTGAAAACAGGATTTTGGGGACCCCCTGAACCGAATATTGCGGCCTACAGCTAGGTCGGGCCGGGGTCAGGACGAATAAATTCGCGGAAACAAAGGAAAAGAATGGGGGGCGGGAATAAATATGGCCGCGTGCGTGATGTTTCCAAACACCAACGGCATGTTTGGTTGGAGGGAGCTGGTGATGGGGAATGAGAATTTATGATATCTGGGAGTTTATGTGTATTTTGGTTAGAAGACTTGGGAATTCGAGAGGGTTTGAGATGGGGAATTAAGAGGTACAATTCCCACCCATCTTTTACCGGGGAGGAGGCATGTTAATTCGTGAGACTTGAAGGAAATTCGATGTGAAACCAAACAAGAAATGGAGACTAAAAATATAACTTCTGTGACCAATCCCACTATCAACTCCCTCATTAAACCTTCTGTTCCTCTTCCCTTGCCAAACAGGCCGCAAAGTCTTGCTGCTACTACTACAGAGGTTTCTACAATCTTTATTGATACGGAGTAGTACTACATTTTTGCGCGGGAGCAAGCCGAGAGCACACGAGAACACGAGCGGCCGCGGCCGCGGGCAGTGCGCAGCAGCAGCTGCAGCGCGTGCGACGTCCTCGCCTGTCGGCCGGCACAACAACCGCACCGATGGCGGTGGCTGAACGGCAAACGCCACTGGGCACTGGGAACAAACACCGTTAGCTGCTAGGCTAGCCCCTCGGATCCAATAGGTTGGTCACACTGCGACTCTTCGAGTGCGTGCTGGGGCTGCCGGGAGGGAGGCAGGTTGGCCGGGGCCGGGAGTGAACATCGAAAATGGGAACGAAGATAGCAACATCACTACATCAGCAGCAGCAGCTTGTTCTGCTAGTACTGTAAATCAGTACCCTGTCTTCTGAGACAATAAAATAACATCCAGCAGTAAAAGTACATATGCAAACGCTCGCCAACGCGTTGATACCGGCTATCAATATCTACTCCCCCGTCCCAAAATATAAGGAGTTTTGATTGGATTTACTAAGAATATTTTAGGATGGAGGAAGTAGCTCCTATAGAGATCATCAACCAATGCTGCATTTAGCCTAGTGGTTACAGTGACCTGAGTAGTACCTCAAGGTCCTGAGTTCAAATATCTTATGTAGCGAATTTTAGATTGGGTTGTTTGCAGGGTTAAGTTCCCTACTTCAATGGCCGTATATATCTGGTTGAATGTAGAGGCCAGGTAAAAAAAAAAACCCTTCCCAAAAAAAAATCAACCAATGCTGCAAGAATAGATTTTGTTTTTTTTACTCACTTCCAGTTCCTGTTCCCTTCCTCTTTTGGTTTGTATGGCCCTTGCTTTATAAATATATTTTATGTCTCAAAGATGCGCTTGTTGTGTATTCCCGAAAATGGTATATGCAAACGCCACTCGAAACAATGACGTGAAAACGCAGCCTGGGGGGCACATACAGGACTCGTCGGTGAACAGCATAAGAGTTCGATATATAACATGCTAAACAGGTAATATCCATGGATATAACCAGTCTTAGTTATACGTTGCTTAGCATCCCCTTATTTACATATAGAGTTCAGAGGTGCAAACTGCAAATAGTGATTGCATAGAGGTGCAAACTACACTAATTCATGACACCATAACACACCATCAGAACGAACCAGTTCTACTTCACCCAGTGTTCTGCATACCAGCAGCGATGCCCTTCATGGTCAGGATGAGAGTGTCCTCGAGGCCTGGGCCGTACTCGCTTGTTGTGTTCAGCTTCACAAGCTCAGCGGCTGGCTTCCCTGAGTCCATTATGTCCTTGGAGAGGTGAGCTCGGGGGCTTACATGGAAGCCAGGGTCCCTGATACGCTTTAGCGTGCAAGCTTGGCAAACATTCAGCGCTGTGATGTAGGAATCACGGATACGCAGTCTCTGCCTCAAGTAAGGATCTCCCTCCAGAAGGTCTTTGTGTCCAGCAACCTGAGTTCACATAGCAGTGAGTGGGCAGATATAGTTAAAAAAAAAGATCAGTAGTTCGGGACTAGTGATAAATATGTTTTTTAGACACTAATTTGGAGATACATTTCTGTGCAGCATTTTCTAGAAGTATCTGGAGCTTAATTATTGCCAATATATAAAAGATGCTTGATCATTTAGTCAGACAAATGCAGGATATACAGCTTGGTAAATTGAAGGAAAACATTACCAACCAGTTGCCAGCAAAAACACCAGCAATTGGAGGCAATTATACTATCTAGCGGTATATAAATGGATAAAACGTCTTAGAAAATCACCTGTAGAAGAAGTTGCTTTGTTTCTTCATAGTTTGCTCTAAGACGAGCACCAAATGGCCACAAATCCTCAGAAACTAGCAACTTGTCATACAGAGCTGCTATACCAGGATCACCCTTAGCAAACACCATCTCAACCAAGTCTATTGTAACCCTGAAAAATGGCCATTCGTTGTACATCTCCTGAAGGATCTGAAGATTGCGTATGTCCTTCTGCAAGACATGCTTGAACGCTGCGCCAAAACCAAGCCACACTGGTAGGTGGAATCGAGTTTGTGTCCAAGCAAAGATCCAAGGAATTGCACGAAGTGATTCAATGCCTCCACTAGGCTTTCGTTTTGATGGCCTACTTCCAATATTCATCCTACCATATTCCAACTCTGGTGTTGCCTATTTGACAGCAAAGAAGCAAAATTGAGATTATTTATACAGACCATTAGAATAATCATTAGCAAAATAACAAATTTATGAAGGTGACTACAGAGTGAAGTTGCAATTTCAAGATAGCTATTTCAAGACAGCATAAAAGGTTTAAAATGAACAGTATTTTTATAAGCATAAAACAAAAACTGAAGTTATTAAAAAAAGAATACTTACAAGGCGGAAATATTCAACAAATCGTGCCTCTTGGAAGACAATGGACCGGTATTCTTTTGTAGCAACAGCGGCCATTTCATCCATCAAAGCACGCCATTCTGGCTTTGGTGAAATTGGTGGATGCATACCATGCTCAAGAGTAGCAGATGTAAAACGTTGAAGTGTCCTAAAACACAAATGCTCCTCTCCAAAAGATTGCTCAATGACTTCACCTTGAACAGTCACACGAAGTGATCCATGAATGGTATCTGGAGGTTGTGACAGTATAGCAAGGTGTGTAGGACCCCCACCTCTTCCAACAGTTCCACCTCGCCCATGAAACATAGTCAACTTAACCCCAAACTGCTTAGCAACTTTAATAAGCTCCTCTTGAGCTTTATACAGTTCCCAAGCTGCAGAGAAACGGCCAGCATCTTTTCCAGAATCTGAATACCCAATCATTACTTCCTGCTTTCCGTCGATCCTATTTCTGTACCAGTCAACAGAGAAAAGTCGGGCAAGAGCTGCTGGTGCTGCTTCCAGATCTGCTAGTTTTTCAAACAATGGCACAACTCTCAGTGGCTTCTTCACATGACATTCACGTTGCAGAAGCTCAACTGCTAGAACATCTGAAGGAGCTGTTGCCATGGATATTACATATGCACCAAAGCTATCATAGGGTAGTTCTGCTATCACATGAAAAGTATCTAGGGCATCAGCAATTTCATCCGTCTGGGGAAGGTCAGGACCAAATAATGGCCTCTTTCCATTGAGTTCTGACAGAAGCCATTCTTGGCGTTTCTCCTCTGACCATTCACGATAGGATCCAATTCCAAGGTATTGAGTTATGGCATCCATAACATCAGTATGTCGGTCAGATTCTTGCCTAATATCAAGTCTAACAAGGGATAGTCCAAATGTGGACACTTGCCGTAGAAAGTCAAGAAGACTGCCATCTGCAATAGAATTATCACCACAGGCACAGAGAGACCTGTAACAGAGCTCAAGAGGCTCCAAGAACTGCAAAAGAAGAAACCTTCAACCAGAAGGACAACCAAAACGTATAGCATAGTAAGCAAGTTTTTTGTATCTTAGCCTATGTACCTGCTCAACATCAGTGAATGTTGCTTCGTCAGGAATTTCAGAAAATCCACTGGCTAATAAATGGCGTGCTCGCTCGCGTGTATTGTACAACTTATCTCTGACATTGCTCAGTATTACACGATAGGGTTCACTCGGAGGAACTTGTTTCCAGAACTCTGCATTCAAGAGAAGCATATCAGCATGCATTTCACTCCACCTAATATATCACAGTTGTAAAAAAAGGAAAGGGAAAAACACAGTAAAGCTAACGTGGAACAATTTGGGACCAATGCTAGTGGTATGTTCTAAAGTTCACATGTAGGACTCCAAAAATTAACCACATGAAAGAAATGAAAAAAAAAGAGGCAAGAAACTGCCACGGTAATCATGTGGGACTTATCCTTTTATGTTTTTCTTATTATTAAATGATTTAGATGATGAATTTTCATTAAAGTTTAATCCTTCGAGAATCCTCATGATGATTATCGGTAACATACGTAATAATTATATTAATTATGGGGTGAAGACTAATTTGGTAAACCTATTTGGAAGGGGATGATAAATAAGGCCACTTATAATAGAAATAAGGTGTGCAGAACTAAACTGTAATGATTCCATACGTGATACATACCTATATAGTGCTTTGTTGTGTTTTTCTTTGCGCAACGGTGTAACTGATCAGCTTTTACACGTAGTTCATCACTACAGCGCCACATAGATAGCTGCAGGTGGTCAAAATTTTGTGTGAGATCAAACATCAATACAGCATATATCCTTTAAATAGTACAACCTATTATTTTTACCTCAAACATCAGATCCTCTATCTGTGCATAGTATAAGTTAGCAGCCATCATTCTAGCTAACAGGCATACGTCCCTTGTAACCTCTGGTGTGACTCTTGGATTTCCTGTAGTCCACATCAATATTAAAACCATAATTTCACAATTAATTAACTATGTTGCAAACATGATATGATAGATGTAACATACCATCACGGTCTCCACCCATCCAAGAAGAAAATTGAATAAGAGGAGCATTATAGGGCACTCGCTCGTTTATGCCAATGTTCTTAAGGGCAGTATCAACCCTACGTAAAAACTTGGGTACACCCTTCCATATTGTCTCATGAAAATAACTCATTCCAGCACGCATTTCATCCTGTGGTGTAGGAGGTGCTCGCCGAATTTCATCTGTTCTAAAGGCGGCTTGGATCTGAACATAAGAAAAAATATAAGGAATTAGAATCATATAAATATATTTTTGATGTATGACAAATCTTGCTGATTGTTGAAATAATCACTATAGTGGTCTTGTGCCACTCATAATCCAAGCTCCTACAAAAAGGAAATCACCTCTCTCTTAAGTGCTTCATCGAGTTCCTGCTTCTCATCTGGAGTTATGTCTTTTGCATAAAGTTTTGTTAAACAACTTCTTATCCTGCATATAGGAAAGTGAAAACCTTATATTTTGTTCAACACTTGAAAGATAGATTTGTCGAATCCGACAAACCTTGCATCTAGCAAGCATTCTTAGTGAACTGAACTTCTCTAGTGCATTGAACAAATATTATACTTAACAACTAAAGACAATGCAGGATGCAATGCAGTTGCATTCCACTCATTTCAAATGCCCTTTTATTGGCTATATTTATTTTGGTTGTGCAAAAATTGAAACTAACCTGCCATGCTTTTGTAGCAGCGACCTCCTGACTGACTGAGTTGGATGTGCTGTCAGGACCAGGTCGATTGTTTGATTCTTGAGAGCATCAAATACCTCATGAGGGGACTTCTTAAGCTCACCAACAAGCCTTTTTAGGGTCTCCTCAAAGTTTGATTCAGTTGTAGCAGAGTTTTCATCAGCAAAATCACCCTTCTTCAGTTTTATCCTCCTACGATACGCAATCTGGACCTCCTCAGCCAAGTTTGCCAGGATAAGCATGTGTGAGAATGACTTCGTCATCACAATGGAGTCTCCAGGATCTAAACGAGTTAACACATTCCCAATTGCATCCAGCTGTTTGGGGTCAACCTTACTTTCATACTCAGCAGCTAATTCATAGCATTCTTGAACCTACATATACCAACAGAAGTGCAAAATTTTGAACACATTATAGATGTTTAATTGAAGAAAGCTCATTATATTGCAGAAATTGAAAGAATCAAGCTATTCATTAAAAAAAATCAGCGCAACGGTATAGCAAACAGATGACACAAAAACTCAATGATACTAGCAGAACACTCGCAGGCCTCATAGTTTTATAGATTGCTTGACTGGATTAGCCAACACGTGTCCAGACAACTCAATGATGTCGAAACTGCACAGTGAAATCATGTAGAACAACATACAGAAACAAGATGAAGGTAGAAGTATGGAAAACTATACACCATTAACAAATCGTGACACATTTGTTCACAGACTGCAACATATCAACAATAACAAAAGGTTATAACAAGACCCCATTCCTCAAATAAAGGGGCGTAATTCCACTGGACCATCGGAAAGTCGCAATGACAGCAAGCGATCCGCCCATCTTTGCATAGCTACTACTTTGAACAGCATGGCAATCTACTCCCTGGCTAAAACATGAGTTGCATACGAGAGTACAATTCCAGGAAAACGGAGATGACAACAGAAGAAAGGATTTGACACTATGTTTTTTTTAAAAAAATAACATTTCCACTACCAAAGCGCATAAAACATGCAAATAATATAACATGCAGAGAATAAAATCAGTGAAACACACAAATCCAAAATGCCTTAAGATAAGTGGCCAAACCACCTCCGATTTGCGCACAAAGCGATCTTCGAGCATGCAGTACTCACCCCACCCAGATCAACAAGAGAAAAATAAGGAGAAACCAAAATGCATTATGGCATGGAGCGATCGGGGGATCATTTACCGTCTCCCTGATGTCCTCCCCATGCAGATCCTGGAGGATGTCGAGGAAGCGATCGAGGAGCAGCGCGTCGTACTCCACAAGCTTGTCGTCCTCCGAGAGCTTCTTAGGCGCCAGGATCCGCAGCTGCGCGTCGATGGACGTCCCCTTGTCCGCCGCATTGCGCGCCATCTCCCCGAAAGCCGACTCCTTTTCCCCCTTCTCCCCCACCTGCAACACCAAAACCGCAGATTAATACCCCACGAGGAGCCAGCGTACACCAATTCAGCCTCCAATCCGGCGAAACCCAACACCTTCACGAAGCGCCACCGCGATCCGAACGGCCAATGCGAAATCCTTTGCCCACCACCTAGCCCTAATCACACACAAACCTAAGAAAAAAAAAAAAAACGATTTCCCCCCCTCCCAAACGCAACAGGTTCCGATCAAACACCGCAAACACTGCCTTACCCCCAATGCATCGATCAACTACATACTCCAATAAGAACAAGGAGAACAATGCCTAAGGAAAATCTGAGAAATAAAGAACAACTTTCAGAAAACGGATTGGGAATACCTCCGCCTAGAACAAGTGTACCAGGGCCAATGCGGGGAGAGATCAACCTGACGAAAAGCGTGGCTTTGCTTTTGCGCTTTCGACGATTTCCTGTGAGAGAGAGACAGACGCACACACCCCTTGGTGGACTATTTATAGGACAAGACGCCGTTGTCGCTTCTGCACCTGAACTCGCGTGATCCGACTCGAGTGCCCCCCCCGATTTGCAACTAACAGGTGATGTATACGGAGTGATTTTCCTGACCGATTTGATATTCTGTTGAACAAGTTCAAAAGAACTCATCGAAAATTGATATTTTGCTGTAAAAGCTTGAAACAAACTCTACCATCCATCGCAATTCGACAGGTTATGTACGGGGTGATATTCCGGATCGATTTGATGTTTTCTACTACTATGGCTACTAGGATGTGTTAGTTAATAGATGGCGGATACGATTAAGTTGCATGACTTACGCATGATGTTCAATAATTAACCGCTCACTCCTTCCTGTTTCTCTACTACTACTGCACAATCGTCCTTGCACTCTCTTCGTATGTAGGAGGTCGTGCGCTGCTACTACTACTTTCTTCTCGATCCATTCTATCCACCCAGCCAATCACTGACTATTACTCCCTCCATCTACTTTTGATAGTCATATTTCATCTTGGCACACAGAATAAGGATAAATAATTCTACTTATTATTCATTTAAATATGCTACTAGTCATTCCTCGTAAACAAGCGATTCATTAATATTTACATTTCTCGATGCCCATGTAGCCGATCTTGTATGGAAAAATGGAGAGTCATGCATTAAATCCGAGAAAGTCATTAAGATAATATGTTGTTCAATTGAAATATGCCTATCAAAAATAAAATTTTCAGATTTAGAAATATGACTATCAAAAGTAGATGGAGGGAGTATATTATCAATTTACCTATCCAGTCAGTATATGATCCGATGTAAAGAATGGACATATTACTAATAAAAAATGCAACATTTTTACCTAACAAAGACAATTCACTTTGATGTTGGTTGTTTAGAAAATTAAAGAACCCATGATAGGAAGAAGGTTGACCGATATTTTGGTTCGACTTCGGCACACATATGAGCAGTTATGTGTCAGTTAAATTTCATACCGATCATGATAGGAAGTATGTGACGTTTTTAACTATCACTAGCAAATTACTCATGCCACGTCGCAGGATAATAAATGAAACAGTTTTGCTGTGTTTCTAGTAGGCAGTATTTTGTTTTTTGTTCTAATCTTTTTGTTTAATTTCTCCTAATTGGTTGGTTTTCTAGAGAGGATGGGACACGTGATCGGTTTTCTTTACCAATTTTTTCACAAACACGTGGACGGGGGAAGTGAAATGCAGGGTGGAGAGGAGGATGACTCCTCTTATACTGTAGTTGAGAAAATCATCCAGCATTTGTAATTGGACGTGCAAACTAGGGTGGAGAGGAGGCTCAACAAGATTTCTTTCTTTTCTTTGGTGAGGAACAAGATTTCATTATCTGATTATGAGTAGAGTCCAAAGAGGTGATTGAACAGTATCCAATAGAAAAGGTTAATTGATTTCATGCTATTACAAAATATGTCACTTTAGATAAATATCACTATTATAATAGTCTATTCGTATCCACGCTAGAATTCGCACAAAATTTAAAGCACGCCATCACCGTCATGTTTTTCGTTTTGTTCCCCAATTTATTCTTCTCTCTCGAGGACAGGAAGCGAGCAAGAAACAGTGGCGAGCAGACTGACCAAGAGAGAGTTCGACGAGGCTACCCAAATCTGAGTTGACTGAGAGCAGCGACGATTCAATGGTTTTGCGGTTGTTTTGTGGAGGCTGAATGGAGACTGGTGGGCCCTCTGATGGCTGCAGCTTGTGTGGCGGCGAAGGGCGATGGCGGGATTAGGATTCTAGTGAGGAGCCCCAATGGGCTTTAGGCAAAGTAGGCTAGGTGCGCCAGCGGCCGCAGCACCTAGGGGAGGAGGAGAGAGGAGGATTCTTTGCTCCTTGGTCTTCCCTTTCTTTTCTTCTTCTTTACTCTGGCGATGGTGGGCCTCCGGGAAAGGAGCTAGGGTTTCCACGGAGGGAGGAGGAGGATGGTGGTCGGGGATGTGATGCAGTGGCTGTGCAAGGAGCTCCCTCGTTCCTTCTCAGGCCAGCGGGGACGACGCTTTGCTGACGTGCTGGTCACTGCCTCCTGCATGGACGCCCTCCTCACCAGCAACCACATTTGAAAATGAGGTGGAGAGAGATAGGGAAGAAATAACAGGGGAGGATGGAGGAAGAAGATGGAACTAACATGTTGGTTCTATGTCTAGAGGTATTTTGGTCTACATGATGACGGGAAACGTAACAACGATTGCATGGTTCTAACTTTATACGAATTCGAATAACATGTATACGAATAGATGAATAGTAATGATATATATCTAATATGATATATTTGTAAGCATGATCCAATTAACCTTAAAAAAAGGGACAGCTCGTTGAATTAAAAGAAGATTAGATATTCCCTCCATCTACTTTTGATAGTCATATTTTCAAATCTGAAAATTTTATTTTTGATAGGCATATTTCAATCCAACAACCTATCATCTTAATGATTTTCTCGAATTTAATGTGTCTCTCCATTCTTCCACACATGATTGGCTACATGGACTTTGAGAAATGTAAATATTAATGAATCGCTTGTTTATGAGAAATGACTAGTAGCATGTTTAAATAGATGATAAGTAGAATTACTTATCCTTGGTCTATGTGTCAAGATAAGATATGACTATCAAAAGTAGATGGAGGGATACTACTTAGGCCATTCTCAACCCAAAACACTAGACATGGTTTCCATAAACTCCACATCATCAAGAAACTAGTACTAGACACCACTCTTCCAATGTAAACACCACTATTCCATATTTAAATTTAATGCCCTCACATGATGTCTTGGATGTTGTGTAGAAACCATGTCTTATGCAAGACATGGTTTTATTCTCTTTCCTCATTTATTCACTTGCCACATCATTTTTCATTCTAGATGACAGTTTATTTAATACTATGAACACCATCTAGTCATTGGATTGGGAATGGCCTAAGTGTCATAGGCATTAGCATTAGTATAGCTGCACGAAATTCTTGGAGAAGCGAACAAATGCGTCGGTAAGGAGCTCAAGATAGAAACAACCGGTATGCTAGGGGCTCCACAAAAGAGTTTTGTCCGGAGCGGATATTCCGAGGGTATAATCGTTACTGCTACGATTTATTCTAGTCCTTCTATATTCGCAAGTGGGTGAGACAATGATATGTTCTACAGTTCTAGGCCTTAAAAATTGTTGGACTTGGCAAATAAGGCGAATAGAATTGTGAAAAAAATTTTGCTGATCCGGCAAAAAAAAAATGCTTATGCCATATTTTTTTGTCACATGAACACACTAGCACATACACCACTACGTACGTACACTGGTGGAGAAACCATCTTTGTTCGGTCGACCCAAATCCACAGTAATCCCGGTTCCATTAAAAAACAGGAGAAAAACGATTTTTACTCCCGGTTTATAAGAACAACAGGACTACATGTTACCAACCAGGACTAAAGATGTTGGTAACACCAATCTTTAGTCCCGGTTGGTTCCCTGTCAGATCGTGTCAGGCGCCTAGGATCTTTAGTTCCGGTTTATAACACCAACCGGGACTAAAGATCTATCTTTAGTCCCGGTTGTTGTTACTAACCGGGAATAAAAATCTAACATGTACTATATAATCCCTATTACTTATCCTCTTATTATATCGTCCGCACAACAAACTCTCTCTATCTCTTTTTTTCCTCTCTAACTCTCTTCCTCTTTCCCGCCTTATCTCTTTCTTTTTGGATAGATCGAGTGAGAGCGCTGCCTTATCTCTATCCAGATCGAGCGAGAGCGGGTCGGCGCGGCGGCACGGAGGGCCGCGCTCGGTGGCGCGGAGGCGGCGGGCGGCGCGGCAGCGAGCGGCGGTGGCCGGCCGGCGTGGAGAGGAGGCGGCAGCGGCCGGCCGACGTCTCTGTGAATTTTTTTTTTTGAATTTATGATTTATTGCATGATCCTGTGATGTATTGATTTGTGTGTGATGTATTTGCGATGAATTTTGTAGAACTTGTGATGTAATTTGATTTGTGTGCAATTTTATTTTAGGATTTGTGATGTATTTGATTCGTGTGTATAAGTAACTTTAAAGATTTGTGATGTAGATTTGGGATGTTATCTTGATTTGGTATTTGGGGTTTAATTTGGGATACGCATCTCACTTGATTCGGGAGAAAATTAAAAAGAAAAAAAAAGAAAAAAAGGAGGGGGCATCTAGACTGCTGTTATCTCCTATTTAGTCCCGGTTGTTAACATCAACCGAGACTAAAGATCCCCTATCTTTAGTCCCGGTTATTTCACCCGGGACTAAAGATAGCGATCTTTAGTCCCGGATTCATAGTTCCGGTTGAATAACCGGGACTAAATGGGGGTTACGAACCAGGAGGAAAGATGGTTTCTCCACCAGTGATACGTACTCATAAAATACGTGCACACGCAGAAGTATACTTTTGACATGTGCTTAAGATAAATTCATGACCTAAACACTAAAAGTAGAGTTAAGCATCCTCGTGAAAAGAAAACAAAGTTATATATTCACAACTCTACCACTACACAAAAGTATTCCCGTCAACCATCATATGTCTCTTGCACTTATGCAATTCACTAATATCAATTTTACATTGAGATCAAATCAAATATAAAAAGTGATGTAAGCGTAGTTTAGGTTTTTTGTGGTGGAACTAGCTTACCTATCAACAGCGAGACGTGCCTGTGGCAACTATATCAATTTCAAGATATGTCGGTCAAATTTTTTTAAGATATTTACAAGGATAGGGTGTGCGTTTATAGGGGTGAGTATGGGCACATTATGAGCGTCTGCATTTTTTAAAAAAAAAACAAATATGAAAAGAAGCTGGTATATGGGCAAATACGAAATCAACGTGTACGAGTGAAATAAATTCCAAATTGGCTCACAGTACCCCTTTTAAAAAAAATAAACTTCCAAATTCAAAACGTGCACGAGTGAAAACATTTCCGTGTGCACCATAAAGGTTGAATGCATGCAATATGTTGCCAGTCCTCAAGCTTACACATGTAACAAATCCATGTCATTCTAGTATATATATACTAATACTGAATTTGTTAATGTTTCCAATTACACATGAGAGATCACGGACGAGTCATTTACGCGTTGGTATCAACCCCATCCTAGCGATCAGTTTCCTGCTTCCAAATCGTCGCGCCCGTAAACTCCACGTAGACAGTCGCCAATACAGGATAATGAAATAGGCCTGGATTGTATCTATCAGGAGGACAAACATGCAAGAGACCTAACATTTTCAGGTACTCCAATCCTCAATGACTATCCAACACACCAGCACATGAATAACCAAACAAGAGAACATTAAATACAAGCTAGAATAAGAATCAACAAGCGTGCAAGCGTGCAGCACATGAATAACCGAACACGAGAACATTAAATACAAGCTCGAATAAGGATCAACAAGCGTGCAAATGTGCAATGTGCTGACCTTGGGCTTTTATGTGCTTTGGCACGCGCACGAGTGTTTATCATAAAAATTATGCAAATTGCAGATGAATAAACGATAAGAACTGACCCATACCACGAAAATATCTTTTAAAAGGGGAATAAATTTTCCTCATTTCCTGTGTTATCTTGTGCATCTTGCACATATTTGATGTGAGGCCAACACACGAAGTGATATACACGAATACAACCTTTTCCGGTTCCCTTGTTACAAGGGCAGAAATGATGAGAATTAGCGTAAAAGGATAAACCGATCGCCAGAGAAGGCAACGTAAGTGGAGAGCGAATCAAGTACCTAAATCGCTAAACCCCATCCACACTCTATTCTGTACAATGGTTTGGAAAGGGACGTTGCTCTATCGCCGTACAGAGAAGCTATGCTGCTATACATGGAACCGAGCGCTCAAAAACAACATACTGTATGCTTCATCATAAGCAAACTAGTTCTCAGCTCTGCATTAATTGCCTTTCACGGTAGATTTCCCCAAGCTGCTGATATAAGAATTTCTGCTCCTCAAAGGTTAGATTTCTTAGAATCTGGATGACAAAAGATCGGAAATGCATAAGAATCACACAAGACAATAGTAAACAGGCTCAAATGAAGCATGGTCCTGACCTGTTCCAAGATTAGCTCAACAGAGTAGTTTTGGGGCGATATGAATGATTGGTGATATATGTATGCAAAAACTGCCATAACCATCTGGGGAAAATGAACAGGAACAAGTTTAGCAACTTGCAACATGAAAGCTTGTTAGGATGATAAAAAATAATCATGCATGTCTAATACTGACCAGAATAAATGAATGTGATGTTAGCATCAAACATCTATTTCGGCTTTTCTATGTATATAAGTGACAACTTTGTCATCTTGAAAATTTCCATGTCAAATTTGAATTTTCTAAAGCCAGAAAATAAGAAAACTACATGTGGAAGAATATTGTGTAATGTTAAAAAAATAAGAGAGAAATTAAAGGGCAATCATAAGTGCAATGTAGAGAAGTTGAAGTGGGCGAGCGGCAGATTCACAACCAGCACCATCACTAGTATTTCTTTTAAAAGGAGTAAAGATTCTGCAGAAGCTATTTTTAAATTCTATTGTTAATACTCGGTATAAAGGACTTATTTGCTATGTACTTGCTTTCTATTAACATTAGTCAGAATAACAGTAAAGTGAAGGAAAATAGGGCTTAAAACTTTGGCACATCTAGCTAGCTCAGAGGGGAAATTCGTAACACAGGGAAATACAAGAAAGCTAGCCAAAAACAACTTGCCACAGTGGAGTTCACAGGCAAATAACTTGACAACAGGCCCCTAACAAATTTCATATAGCTACAATATGTATATAGAAACACATATCGCTTTCATATGTATGTATATTATATGGGCAGTGACATTTTCTTATAATTAGAATATTCTTCGAGATTACTTACCTGACAATCCATTCGGTCAGTAATCCCACCATGCCCAGGTATGCTGTCTCCAAAATCCTACCACATCAAAAGAGTGATCAACAGAAATAAAAACAGTACAGTTTCCATACTTCAAGAAGTAATCCCGAGGAAGCAAAAGGAGGCACTGCTTACCTTTATTTTAAAGGCCCTCTTGAAGCCACTTGCAAAGAAACCTCCAAAAGGTGCTATTATTGATGCAAACAAACCTAGTGCTAAAGCATGCCACTGCACAGGCAAAAGAACAACTTCCTTCCAAGGGAACTGTCAACAATACATGTAATAACTTATTAACTTTAGCCAAAAACATCCATTGCTTGGAAAACATGATAAAAAACAAAATTCAAACGAAAAACAAAAACAGATTAATATATACAGTAGGGGGCTCCCCTACTGTTTTCCAGTGGAAAAAAGAACAACTAAAACAGATGACTCATCATGGTCAGGTATCATTAATTCATAAAACAAGGAAATTGAATGGAGTTTCAAAGAAAGTAAATGTGTTGCTTAAGTAGAGTTCATGCAAAGGACATGATTATGGTTGTCTCGCCTTTTTCAAGGACTAAAAAGGGGATAAACTGCATTACTCATTCAAGCATTCATGTGATCACCTGGCATCTTTTTGGTCTTTTATAGACTTTCTACTTGTTCTACATCATTCTTCTTGTATAACGAGAAAGCGGTAATTATTCTGCTGAATGATATGACGAATTTACAGTGTGATAACTAGTGCACAAAATAGTATTAGATAGAAAGCCCATTACTTTTTTGAAAGAAAAAAGAATATCCCAATAATTCTTATTCCTAAAACTTAGAATACAAAGGCTGGTGCTTTTTCAAGTATAACAGGACGCAGCATCTTGACTTGGAACAAGGAACTTTGCTCCTCTTGTGATTTCAACGGAATTATAAACAAATCAACTAACTCAATTCCATGTTCCCAAGTTTTCCAGTCTATAACCCAAAAAAAAAATCAGTATGATAATGGGTATGAGAACTGAAAACTTTCCTTGGCCACATTGATAATATTCATGGTTAGGCTTTACCTTAGGAACTTAACCTAGAGGGGTAACGTAAACAACCTATAACAGCGAAAGTAAAATAAATAAATTGAACAGAATAATGTTCAATGTTCTTACCCCCTTTGGCACCCATTCTCCCAAAGAATAATGTTCTGGCTTAAACATAGGACCAGGGTCACAACGAAGCCACCCTGTCGACAGGTCCTGAAATCATTTGCGTGATAAATATAAGAAAAGAATCACAGTAGCAAATTGTGTAGACAACTCACAATCACATTCCAAAGGAAATGATATCTCACTTTTCTTGGGCATGTCAACCATTGGAAACGGCCCATTACATTTGCTAACTGCCAAAAAAAAAGGGAGTGAAAAACAGTGTCAAATATAACTAGAAATATAATGTCCAGATATCATCTTTTGCATGAAAAACTGAAATGAATTATTATTTAAAGCTACCCCTTGAAGTGGCATAGTAGTCTTGCGTGAAAATAAACCATGCTAACTGACATAGACTAGCATAGTTAGAGAACTACAAAAACAATTAACAGAAGCTTTCATCTCACCACAAAAGCAGATATGATAGTTGTCACAGATGCACCAATAAAACCTTCCCAAGTTTTCTTTGGAGATAACTTGATCAGAGGTGTTCTCCCAAGAAAGAACCCAAATAGATAGGCAGCAATGTCGTTAATCACAATGAGAGAAGCAGGCAACAGAAACCTGTGTAAGTAGCATTACAAAGGAATTATATGGAGTTTGTCAAATGGTGTCTATAATGTAATCTGTTTCTAGATAAATAGCATGCACATAATATGACAAGTTCTCTACAATCTACAGTACATCATTTACTGATGTGTGGATGACATTCGATAGTTCGACCCAAAAAAAGAACTCTACCTGCTCATAATTGGTACGGTGCAAAAAGGAAATAGCAAGGCACAAACATACTGTGTATGACTGTTTCATTTTTGCAAATGGTGCTCCTAAGATTTTCTGCTTTTTCCCTGATGGAGTACTGAGCATCCCAAAATTGGTAGGTCCATGGTGCAAACAGATATATAAATAGGTCAAATATGGCTGGCCCAGTGACTATATCATTGTTACAGTTAATATTCCTTTTAAGTTGAAGAGGATCAGGGTAAATTGTTTTTTGCAGCTGCCAGACAAGTTGGGCAGCATGATGTTACTACTGTAGAATTCTGCAAAGTTAAGCATAGAGCACAGAAGATTTAGAGTCTCAGAAAATTTTTGTGGTGTTTTTTGTTTAACTTCTATACATGAGGAAACTTCTGAATGATTAATTACCTAATAAAAAACATGTTAGAGTCACTATTAAATTAAAATTGCTACAAGAAATCATGCATCTAATTTTTTTTTAACACGGAGGTGTTAGCAAGGAAATATATGGCTTACCAGAACATCCCTTCAAATATATTTGCCACGGTAAAAGAAGATTGTGCAAAAACCGTTAAAAGGATCATGTGCGTCCAGGCATATTGTTTGAACTGATACTTGTATGTCTTTTTCTTCAGAGTCAAAATAAACCAGACAAATCCTGGATCATGGCAGTTTACATTATACTTTTTGCCAGACAAGAACTAGATATCGCCAAGATGACAGATTACCAAAGTAGGACTGTATATAGCATAACTAATCCAATCGAGTGAATGGAAAAAATTGTCAAAGAAACAAGCATGTGCACATTAGATCCTTTTTGAACACTTAGGCAGGTCTGCAATGTTATACAAGCACTGAGCTCTGAACATTTGAAAAGGGCTCATGGGATGATGCCAAGTCCAAAACAATTGAAATGAAGTGGATTCTCTGCCAACCGGTTCAAATCAATAAAACAAAGAGGAACCAAGAAGTTCGCATGAATACTTGTTTTAATGCCAGAGCTAAAACTATACTCAAGACAACTAAAAAGATGAAAACTAAATAATGAATGCAGAAACTGTTCTCTAGATAATATTCAGTTGGTGTTTTAATGCCAGTGCTATAGATGAAATGATACCACTCAAGACAACTGAAATCATGAAAAACTAAATAATGACTGCGGAAGTTGGCTGTGGGATTCTTTAGCAGCGCAGGGGGCCATAGATGATATGGGTACAATGTAGTTAGTTTGGACAAGCTCTTTAAAGCTATGATCATGTAAGAAACACATAACTATTCTTGAGTCTTTTTAAACACAATGAAATTCTTAATGAATAGTTATTGTTTCAAATTAATTGCACACTGTACTTACCAGCAATGTAAAGAAAATAGCAAATGAACATCTGATACTTTATGAGACCACTGACAACCTTATACAATAAGTGATCTGAAGTTACTGTGTTAACAAGCTGTCGACTAAGAAAACGCCCATAAGTAAACAACATTGCTGTGAAAAAGAAGTGCCTGCAAAAAAAAAACCCTTACATAAAGAACTTGAACAGAATAGGCATACTTTTGAAAAGCATTGCATTGATGGCATCTACGAGATTAAAAAAAATTCCAGCTCAAATCATAGTACAATTGAAATGACCTACCAATTCAGTAGCCTGAAACCTGGTAGTTGTTTTTCTTCACTGGATTTTCTGAGTAGGTTAAAAAGCTCTTTGGCCATGAATATTTGAATAACAACCACCATGGCCCAGATATAGAGGTGACCCATATAAACTATCAACACAAAGCCTCCAATCATCCATACTGTAGAATATGTACGGATAAGCATTGACTTGTACTTATTCTGATCATTGACAAGCAAAGCTGGTCCATTGGTTCTATTCCCATCTGCAGTAGCCTGAACAAAAAGGTATCAATAAGCTCCAAAAAATGTGTGCCAGGTGTAACACAAAACAAGTTGTTGCTTTAGCTTTGCATCGTGCTCCTGTTTCAGTGACTCGGAAAACTCAAAAAATAATAAAAAGGAAGAATGAAGAGATGGAAGAGTAAATAAATGTAGTAACAACAGAGCAAACAATTTTTATTCACATCAACAACTCACCCTACAGGTATGGTTATGAGAAGTCCAAAATAATTGAGAAAGTAAAGTTAAAAGATAGGCATTTTGGTTACACAATAGCACAGCAAGCTCACTATACAAACAAAATAAATGAACCACTCTTCCCAACCACAAGGGTCTGCCCAACCACAAAAATAAATAAACACGGAGATATGAAGGCAATGCATACTGAGAAACCAAGGGGCCTTTCTGTTTGCTAAAATTTGTCATAATGAAATAGCCTACCTCAGTAGGACGTCTTCGCTGCCTGGCACGTCCTACATGAGAAGCAGAAACATCACTAGAGCTTGTGTCCCTTTCCATCGCTGCTATTTGATCTATATAAAATCATAGTAGTCAATCAGACCGGATTCAATAAGAACACATACTGACTATAGCGAGTAACTCATAGAATACACAGTAAACAGAACTTTACAATTTAGAGATGGTTCTGATAAGTAGAATGTGCAACAATTGGAGATCACAGTACAAAGCTCGCTCTAACACTAAACTGCCATAATAACAAGTAACTCGGCAAACTAGCAGTTCGTGCGTGTGAAATGATTAGATGACAAGAAGCCAACCATGCAAACTTCCTTGCTGTGGCACGGCAAGCGCCCCCCTTTGCCCCACACCTACAACACTGAATATCCAACGTCCACGCAATAAACTAAACACATCGCTGTCACGATTATTGATTCCTGCTCGCAGCCGCTCATCTGCAGGCCGTTCCCCAACTCATCTCTCTTAATAACAATTTGGTTCGAGAGAATACCTCCAGCTAACCAACTAAAAATCATTCGCAACAGCAGCATTCCATGGCCAGCTAAAAAGCCAGGGCGTAATATTCCCCCCGGAATTCGTTTTTAAAACGAAAAGCAATCACTAGCCCACTGTGCCGCATCAATCACAACCCCAGAGTCACGCACGAACACCTGATAACGAATCCCTCAACAACACAAACATCAAACAAGCCCACCCCTAAAACTAGCACGGAACTGCTTGCAATCCAACCAGCAACCAGCAAAGTAAGCGAAAGGGACGAGCGGGTGAGATTGAGACCTCACCGCGAAGCGAGCCCTCGGGCCGGAGGAGGGCGCCGTCGCCGGAGAAAGGCCCCGAGCTCGCCGGAACCCTAACTCGGCGAGGCGCGCGGCGCGGGGAGAGGAGGCGGCGGCAGCGTGCTTCGAGAAGGGGGAGGAGAGAGAGACTAGAGAGGGAGAGGGAGTTGTGGACTTGCGGAGCTGTGCGTGGTGGCTGGCTCTGCTTCGTAATTATCGTGGGGGAAATTCCAATTCCTTGCTTGGCTTTGCGGGCTTAAATAGCTCGGCTTCCGAAACAAGGCTCGGCTCGGGTCGGTTCGGTCGGTCGGGGGAGAATGGAATGAGAAAATGGGTGGAAGCAATTCACCCAAGTACACCGAGCGGGGCACACCGGGTGTGCTACAAGTAGGCTAGGGCCCCACCTGGGATGCGGCTCGCCCAGGGACTCCCTCCCTCTGAAGAAATAGATCGTGTCCGTGTGTCCTTTCTATAACCCGGGAGCATTTTCTTTCGTCCCCGCAAACGAAACGCGTGAGTCGCGTGACAGTTATTTCTGGCTGGCTCGGCTGGAAACTGAGCGCGCCAGGCACACGAAAGGCCAAGGAGAAAAGACCATCAAGTATTACTAACGGGGTGTTTAGATGGGGCTAAAACTTTTTAGCCCATATCACATCAGATGTTTAGACGCTAATTTAAAGTATTAAACATAGACTAATAAAAAAACTAATTTTATAAATGAGAGCTAATCCGCGAGACGATTTTTTTAAGCCTAATAATTAATCTATAATTATCAAAAGTTTAATGTAACATCACATTGTCAAAATCATGGCGTAATTAGATTCAAAAGATTCGTCTCGCGAATTAGCCCAAGCTTCTGAAATGGATTTTGTAATTAATGTATGTTTAATACTCTAAATTAGTATCTAAACATAAACATCCGATGTGACAAGGTGGAAACCAAACAGCCCCTAGTACTTGCGTACGTGCGCACTATACGCTCTGGACTGAGTTTCAGTACGGAGTAGTACTAGCTAATACGGAGTACGGAGTACTAGCCAAAACGACTTTGAGTTTGTTTAATGAATTTCCTACTGTGTAAAAAAACAAATTCTAACAACAAACTTGGACATGTGTCGAAATTTGTAATTAGAATTGGGTTCTTTTTGGGATGCCTGTTTTCCACGCGCATGTTTTTAAACTATACTCCCTCCGGTTTCATATTAGTTGTCGTTGAAGCAATGTACTCTGTGGATGATAATTCCTGACGTTTGAGCATCTCTGTGGAAGTTAATGACGAATTTGCCCATGTTAAACTAATTAATGTCTTAATGGTATTGCTGTTTCCAATATCAGCGCTTACACTACCGTGATGCATGACTAATCAGCTCCATTGCATGACCTGCACGGTGCGGTCTTCCAGTTAATTTAATAGGGGTAAAACAGGAATAGTTATCTTAATTAATCATGCCTTGTTTCAGGGTTATAGATACCACATACCTAATAGTAGTTGACTAAATCTCGGCAGTACCCACCACATACCATGTCCTATATGGAAACAACCTGCGGATATAGGAGGAGTTCCGGATAAGGAAAGACAACCAGAGTTCTACATGGAAACGACAAGGACTACTCGGATTGTATCCGTATTGGTTTCCCTAGTTCTACTTAGACAAGGAGACACCTATGGGTATAAATACAAGGCCCCCTATGAAGAGAGGGGACACACACGATCAACACCCACCATAGAAGACACGACAATCAACACACCCACCATAGAAGACACGGAACAACAGAAGCCAACATACGCCAAGACAAGACGCCGGATATCGACTTCAGAGATAGGCATGGCTAATCCCCTACGGTATCTCCGGATACTGTCAAGAGAGACGAAAGCGCTGTCTCTGATCTCGTCGGGCACGAACTCGAGGAGGAAGACTACCCTGTTGTCGACTACGAGTCAGAACTTCAGACCGCCATGTCGACAACAGTTAGCTAGGCTACCCCAAATATTGTACTGGTGTGATTATGGTGAATAAGAGCAATACCGGCTTCGGCCAACAGGATGTATGGTTATTACCTGACATTTCAGGGGCCCGAACCTGTATAAAAATCATATCTCCATCTCTTTTACCTCAGTCTCGCGTATACCCTAGTACCGACGATCCCCATACCATGCAAATACCGGAATCACGACATCAAACGTCGACACCTTGGTATGTGAGATTATGTCTAAAACGTCAATTAATATGAAACCGGAGGGAGTACTTAATAGTACTTCCTTCGTCTTGGAATATAGCAACTTATAATCAGATGGGACGCGTCCTAACTCTACTAATCTGAACATGTGTTCTAAGTTGCTATATTCTGAGATGGAGGGAATATATGTTTTTTCAAAAAAAAATCTATATTGAAGTTGTTTTAAAAAATTATATTAATTATTTTTTAAGAAATAGTTAATACTTTATTAGACATGTGTTAAAGTATCATCCTTTTTTCATGCGGGATTAGTTCGTAATCTACCCTATAATTCACCAACTACACTCCTACAAACCTCATTCATCAAATCCGATGGTCAAGAATGATCGAATCCAATGATTCGAGATCGTCGTGGACCCTCTCCCTTCCGCACGCGCTTGGCACCCACACCTGCCTGCATTCCTCCTCTCCCCTTCCCTCACGCGCGTCCCCCAATCACGCCGAGAACCCTGTCTCTGCCCTCCTCTCTCTCGCACTCACCCAGCTCCGCAGACGCTGCACCCTCACGCCACCGACGCTCCGCCATCGCGACGCCGCCTTGCCACCCGCGACGTCGCCTCGCCCCTCACGCCAACCGCCGCCGACCGGCGCCGCCACCAGCATCACCGATTCTCCATCGCGCCCTATCGTGGCCCGCATCGCCAATCTACCCTGACCGGCGCCGCCGCCCGCATCACCCATCTACTCCGTGCCTCCACGTCAACCTCCATCGCCTCCCCGGGCTCGAGACCGTCGCCGTCATCGGGAAGACCAATGGCGCCAACCTCTTCGCCTGGGATGACCGCCGGGGCCTCCTCGCTGTCGGCCGCTGGAAGCGCCTGACCATTTTCCGCCTTGACAATGAGAATTCAGCTCCGCATTGCCTATTCTTTCTCGGTTGTGATTTGAGTGTCTATGGCTATGGTTTGACTGTTACATCATTTGGGTTTCGGTGGAAATTGAGATGGCCTGTTGGTAGTGCTCAATTTGGAGAATGGGAAGTATGATACGGGGGATTATCTAATCAGGTTGAAATAGATATTCAGTGGAAATTAAATCAAACACTGGAAGAGTTGCTTCCAATCCTCACTGTTCTGCTGTTCTTCTTGATAATGGCTGCTTCTAGATTCTTGCCTGATGCTTGCTTGGTTGGGTTTTGCAAAGGATTAATGCCTGGTTGTCGTGCATTGGATCCGGCAGGAGTGCCCCAGGTCAGAGCTACTTGTTAGCAGAATAATTGAATTCTTCATGCTGTTAATTTTCAGGTGCTTTTAGCCACCTGTAGCAAATGTTGACTGCATGATAAAAAAACTAAACTTTGTTTACTTGTGAATTGTTGCATTACGGTGATCTACAAAAATCTACCTTTTCATTTTATGTTCGAACTGGCGGTGTCGATTTTGGTTAAACTTTGACACCTGAAGGATCTTAGCTTGAAGATAAATGTGCATCTGCTGTTTTAGATGCACTTGGTTCTGTCCAGGGAAGATTAACTGTGGATTCTTTAGTTACTGAAACATTTGGAACAACTGGCTATTAAAACCACAAATTCACAAGCTATATTACTTAAGTGCTGCTTGTGAATTTTGGTTAACTTTGACACCTGAAGGATCTTACCTTAAAGATAAATGCGCATCTGCTGTTTTAGATGCACTTGGTTCTGTTCAGGGAAGATTAACTGTGGATTCTTTAGTTATTGATTATTAGTCTTTACAGTCTAGCGTGTGAAACCGTGAATGCCACTTCTGCGTTTCATTCACTTGTGTTCAGGTTTTAGCAAACATAATTCAGATTGGTCTGGATGGCATAGTATATGAATGATTATTGAAGCTGCCAGTAGTTGAATAATGCTTTGACCATAAGTAGCACCCCGAATATGTTATATGCAGGATTATCAGTACTTGTTTGCGTTTGTTGCACCGTCTTTCATTTTTGTAGCCATTGTCTCATGATGAAGCAAGATCATTATTTGCGTTTGTTGCACCGTATGTCAATGAAGCCAAGGAGACCAAGAGCAGTAGTTCTCTACCTCAAAAGGTAGCTGAATCTGAAATAGAATTTTGCTTTTTCATTTATGTTATATATTTTCCTTTCTGTATTGAGCTTGGAGATCTCAACATGATTTAGGATTTATACATGTTGATTGGTGAATGTTAGCACCTATATACATGTTCTATTTTTTTTCTTAAAGATAATTGCTTTTTTTTTTGTATTTCGTTGTTTCCTAAGATGTACCAACATTTCTTAAAGACGATTTCCTCACAGACTTGCTTTTCATAAGAAATATGGTAAAAAATGAAGTATGTAATTTAAGTATTACATTTTGTGGATAGGATTATATATTTGTTATATATTTTTTGCTTGCAAAAATATATGAGGGCACTATCAAATGTTGCTGTAGCGTAAGCAATAAGCGCACACTTATTTTTTTTCCCGTGTGACTATTCCACTTATTGCTATTCCATGAGCTTCTTGATTCAGCTCACAAACACAAGACAATTGATTTGGAGTCCACTTTTTAATACAGGTATATATATTAGGTGTCTTATATATTAGTCTAATGACATCATTGCTTCTACATGAAACAAACTAAGTGGTCTGCTACTACATTTTTTGGTATTGTCATTCTTATAGGTGCTTAATGTTGAAAGATATATTCTACGGAATATCCAGTAGACGAATCTCTTGGTTGCTTTTTACTAGGACTCATGTCTTAATCGCCATTTTATTTTTTTAATCCTTTCGAATTGTTTACCCAGATTTTAATCCACGTGACTTCCATATTTATGATGATTGCTTAGGACTTGATCATAGAAAGGGAGGTTAAAGAATGCAACAAAGCCATCACTTACCATCTTCAACGACTTGGGCGGCGAAACAAGGGTTTATTTTCAATGATACGAATTCATCCATTTATTATCTTTGTTGCCTTGTCTTTATAACCGCGAGACATTATTTTTCACCAGTAACTCTGATGAAATGTAGTATTATGTCAATGACCAAATTTGTCATAATCTTTATATG